ATAGAAAAAAAACATTGTTTCCAGTAATTATTTTTATACTTCCACTGCGTCATTCCCACGCACTGACTAGAAGAATGTTTATGGTGGCCCGAGTGATGAACGACGAAAACGACCTCCTTTTGTCTGCCATTTTGCCTGACTAGCCATTTTGCCCGACCCTATCGCAAAACATGGGACCTCGTCGCTTTGGCTTTGTTGTCACGTGATCTGACCCTCTCGAGTAACCCAAATCTACTCGAGTGGGGCTGGTCACGCACCTAGCCCGCTAGCAGCGAAAAATTGAGCGCACCCTTTTCTGGCAACTGCAGCTAAACCACTACACGTGGTTGTGGTATTGAGTGAGGCTTTAACCTGGTGGACAGAAATCACGGGAAAAACAGGACGAACCAAGCAAAGGTACACTCAAAAGTTCAGACGAGAGCGGCTCAAGGATGACCGACTAAAAGAATGGATTACCGAAGTGGATTCCGATTCCGCGAGGGCCGCGTGCCGTGCGTACAGGTGCGAAATTGTTGTAAAGCATGCCGACTTGGTCAGCCATGCCGCGACAAAAAAGCATCTTTCTGGGACTGAAAGCTTCTCTTCGAAGAGACAAACTACTCTCACGTTTCCTGTAAAGCATGAGGACGCCAGCGTTGCAGAAGCTTCAATAGCTGTGTTTGTGACCGCGCACTGCTCCGTTCTGTCCGTGGATCATCTCGGTGTGATGTGCTGACACAGTTTCAGTGACAGCAAGGCTGCAAAAGACCTTCATCTCCATCGTACGAAGTGTAGTGGAATCATCAAGAACGTACTTCAGCCACACTTCCTCAACGATCTGCTAAACGACCTTGGCAGCGGTCCTTTCAGCCTTACCTTATCGGACGTAATTTTTATGGATTTTGCAAAAGCGTTTGACCGCGTGCCTCACAGAAAACTACTCTTCAAACTGAGATCCTTATTAAACAATGAACAGATATTGAAATGGTTAGAAGCATATTTAAATAACAGAAATCAGTTTGTACAAATACAGGATTCCCGCTCATCCACATCAAAAGTAGAATCTGGAGTTCCTCAGGGATCAGTTCTTGCACCCCTACTTTTTCTAATTTTTATAAATGACATGACAGTGGACAGATCCGTTCAAATTCGCTTATTTGCCAATAATTATATAATTTATAAGCAAGTCAAATGCTCAAATGACCAAGTAGTCTTAAACAAAAGTTTAGAAATGATCTCAGAATGGTGTGAGGATTGGCAAATGTCTCTAAATAACCAAAAATGTGCGCATATAACGATAACTAGGAAAAAAAAAACACAGAATTTTAATTATACTCTTTAAGGAAAGCTTTAAATACGGTATGTGAATACAAATACCTAGGATTAATCATAACTTCAGATCTGCGTTAGAACTCACATATTGACTTTATCTCCTGAAAAATAATCAATAAATTATGGGCATTAAAAAGGAAACTGAAGGACTGCTCGAGCAAAGCGAAACTAATGGCGTACGAAACGTTTGTTAGATCTATACTTGAGTATGCCGACGCTGTGTGGGATCCTTACACAAAATGTAATATTAACAAATTAGAAAGAATTCAGAAGAAGGCATTAAGATTTATATTTAATAAGTATGGCAGAAACACCTCGATTTGGGAGCTTTATGTACAGGCCGGCCTTCCGCTTTTAGAAAAACGTAGAAAGATCAATCGACTGGAATTTATTTTTAATCTAATAAATGGGAACTACAACTTAGATTATCAAGATTACTTTCACTTCAACACATCTAGGGTCACAAGAAATAAACACAGTAAATCAATCACTGAAATAAAGTGCAGGACCGACTGTTACAAATACTCTTATTTTCCTCACACTATCCATGCCTGGAATGCGTTACCCGAACAAATTGCCTCTTCAAATTGTTTAACGTTGTTTCTGGCATTGATAAACGAATTGCCAGAGTTTTGAGGTTTCAGGCCTTGATACCCCTTAAACAAATATTTTTCTGCTCTTTGTGTGTTCGTAATTATATATGTGGTGTTTTTTTTTTGTTTTTGTTTTGCTGTGCTACCACACTCTGTGCTTGCTTTTTCGTAAAACTTGATTCATGTATCCCTCCTACGTTGGCTGCCCTACGGCGGCCAATAATATCAATAAAATAGAATAAATAAAAATAAATCTTGGACGAACCTACTGACATAAGTGTCACCAAGCTGCTTGGTGTACTTATGTCAGCGAGAGGAAGGGCAGTGTCACGTCCACATTTTTGTGCCTAGCAGTAGCAGAGCTTCAGCAGTGCAATGCCCAGTCCATAGTGGATGCATTAAAGGCGTGTGCGAAAAGGATTGGTCTGGACCTCGGAAGAATGCGAGGCATAGGAACAGATAATGCAGCCGTCATGATTGGGACCAACAATGGTGTGTACCAGAAACTGAAAGCAGAAATTCCGTCACTGACTCTTGTGCGATGTGTGTGCCACTTACTGCAGCTCGCAGTGTCCAACTCAGTGTCTGAATTATTGCCAAGAAACCTTGATTTTTTTATAAGAGACACCTACAGTTGGTTCGCAAAGTCATTGATGCATCAAGTGGCCTACCGTCTGCTCCACCAAAAACTGAATGAAGGGCGAGGACTTTTGAAACTGGCGCAGTCCAGTAACACAAGGTGGCTGTCGATTGAAGCAGCCATAACACATATCTTGGGCCAGTGGAACGAACTGAAGTCCCCCTTCAACATTGTTCGCCACAGCAAGAAATGTTACACGGCAGAGTTGTTGCATGCCATGTACTGCGATGAGATGAACCATGCCTACCTGCTCTTTCTGCGTCCATCTCTTACGAGGTACAGGTTGTGAATAAGGCTTTTGAAACAAGCACTGCCAACCCTCTCAAGTTAATGAACAACCTCAGCCTGTTCATTGAAGGCCTTGCCAAGAAGATTGTTCTGCCAACATCTAGGCTGGACCCCCTGACTAGCGATCTCGACAGCTATGCAGACCCAAAGCCCCACCTTGGGTATGAGGCTGAAAAGAAGATACGAGACATGAGAGGACAGGGTCTTACCTCAGAAGCTGAGGACTCGTTCAGAGAACACTGCGCCGAATTCCACCGCCATCTGTTCAAGGAACTGAAGTTGAGGCTGCCTGACAACATTAACATCACGAGACAAACAGCCCTACTTTCCCCTTGCAACACGCTCAAAGTGATCAAAGAGTCTCTCATTCCCCTAATGGAACTCTTAGGCGTACCAGCCGGAATTATCACTGTTATCGACTTCCAATAGGGGAAGATAACACTGGTTCCATGGGAGAACACTTCCGATGTTGTGTCTTCCTGGAGTGAAGTGGCGAAGTACAAATATGCCATTTTTTAGACCACCTGAGACTGGGTGGAAACACAACGTCTCACATGTAGACACGTGGAAGAAACACAACGACGTTCTTTGACGTTGTCGTGTTTCTTCCACCCAGTCTCAGGTGGTCCAAAAAAGGGTAAACCTACACCAGCTCACCTGCGCCCTAACTGTTTTTACAAATATGCATCAGAAAAAAATCCCTTCAAGGAACTTTCAGGCTTCGCGCACTGCGTCCTAGAGCTTTTCTGGTACAATGCCGAAGTGGAACGTGTGTTTAGTCTGGTAAACATCGTAAAGTCCAAGCTCCGAAACAAAATGACAACATTCATGGCCAATGCTCTTCTGACTGTGCGTGCTAAAACAACAGCTGTCATGATTACGTATTTCCTAATGGCGAATTCCACTGGCCGTTTTGGAGCGCGCCGGGCTCAGTTGACCAGATCCGGATTGGAGTACACGATCCGAACGGGGTCGCGCCGCCTACGGATCCCACGTGGAACATGACCACTGCTCCGGGATCGGCGGATGCCTTCCCGTCATTCAACTGCCCGGGAATCCCCTTTCCGCGGCCGCCGCGGTCGTTTCGAAGTGGTTTCGAAGACGTTTTCGCAATCGCGGCGCTAACACGTGTTCGACGCACGAGCGGCAGGAATGGCTCAGGCGCTTCTAGCAAAGATTGCCGGAATGCCCGTAGCGCGGCAAATACCTTCTCTTCTTTTTGGAAAACGAACCGCTGTTGAGCCAAGGGGTAAGCAAGCGGCCATTACGAATTCTTCTGATGTCGAGACAATCTAGGAGCCCAGCCCGCGACGTGCTTCTTCTACTTCTTCTGAGGCGAGATGGCGAGATCACGAGGTGGGCGAGATCCGAGATCAGGCGAGATGCCCCACTGCCCTGCCCTGCCCCTGCCCTGCCCCCCGCGAGAAAGAAAGTCACGTGAAAAGTCGATCCTGGCGCGCTCCAAAACGACCATTGGAATTCGCCATAACTCAGTTCTGGCAGAGGCACCAAAGCCCCCAAAGCCTGCCAAAGCGGCCTATGCTGATTTGAGCACACTGGAAAGTCCAAGCAGCGCGGAGGCGCGGACCTAATGACCTAATCACAGAGCGCGAAGAAGTCTCAGATGGAGTAGATGAGCTAGATGTCGTAACTTGAACTTTTCTAGATCTACACATGTAGACATGTATCAAGAAGACTGCCTGATGTATGATCTCTGTGACTGCCTGTGCATATCGTGTCATGAAAAAGTGATAGCTGATAATTTATTTCCTTCAAAACCAGTGGGTGTGTGGTACTCTATTCAACGTAACCTCGTTATGAAAAAAAAAAAATATATTATTACATTTAATATCTAGCTTTTTTTACTCCAAATCTCGCCGTTTTTTGGGCATGTGTCTAGCGGGAATTCATCAGAAAAACCAAGAAGAAAATAACCTCCTTGCCCGTTACAAAGGGGTTAGCCGTATATCCAAATCCAAAATCCTTGATCTATCCAGCCAAAGTCAAGCCACTGGCTAAGCCCGGATAATTCTTCTCCCGCGTAAAGAAGTTCGTGTTCGCGATGTTCGCATCGTTTCTTCGTTTTTTTCGCCAGTTTCTTTTGCAGCTTTGTTTCCATTCAAGTCCGCCGCACAATAAGTGTTGTTTTTTTCAATCGGGGGGGATGGCGTCGGAAGCGGCAGATGACTCGGAACGTGGTAAGTGTTCTCTTTCTCGCACTGTAACATTCACATGGCCATTGTAGCTCAATGATAATAATAATAATAATAACAACAATAATTTTATTTGCACTTCCAAGGGCGCAGGTGGTGGTGTGCGGGGCTGAACAGATAGGTGAGAACACTTACGCGGAGCGCCTGTCAGCCCAATGATGTCGGCAAGTGCAGAGCGCCGGTTTCAGCGCAAGATAATCCGGCGCGTAAATGAGTGTATCGAGCTAAGTTTACCCAAAGATCAAATTTGTTCCACTGCTGTTTAAGATCAACGCCCGTCTCTAGATGCAACGGTGTCTTCTGCATGCGATAGCACTCGACAGGACCATTTGACCGCAAGCGCAAGTTCGCTGCAAGGCACCACCTTTGGCTGCCGATCATGGTCTGTAGCTTGTGATGATCAGCCTACAGGGAACGGCACTAATTCCTATGACCGCCTCGAAAGTACGCCTGTGCATAACGATATCGCACTGAGCGAAGAACTCTCCGACATACAAGACCACGTGTTGCCTTCCCGCAGGCAACTGCAAAGGTGGGCGGTCGAATCGGGCAGCTCTCGCAATGCAGTGTACAAGCTTTTAATCCTGTTGCGCACTCATTCGTGCTTTTCTTCTCTTCCTTGATCAGCGAGAACGTTGCTCGAGACGCCTAGAAAGGCCTTGGGAACTCCAGCAAAACGGACGCCACCAAACGGGAACCAGCCGGAACCAGCCGGAACAGGTCGCTTTGCGCCCCTCCGCGCATCTCTGGTGGCTTTCGCGGACACGTGTTGTCGGCGCGGTGGCGCACAACGTAATTTGACGAAGATGCCAAAATTTCTGAAGTTTGCTTAGCGTTCATTAGCAGGGTGAAGCCTCAGTAGATTGTTTCCTTGCATCACGTGTTTGAAAGCCCGTTTACTCCACAACACACGGTGGCGTGCTTTCGATTTCTTGGACGGGGAGGAATCACGGGAAAGGTTTTGATTTCCCGACTACTTGGTAACTGATAAGTGGCTTCTTTATAAAGATGTAGAAGAGTGGACTGAGGACGACAGACGAGGTGTTTCACTGTAGAGAACACCAATGTTACAGTCAAGTGAGGTTCGATAGCTGCTTTTCTTGAGTGTGATTGTGTTCGATTAGCTTCAAGATCGAGCCACTCACGCCGGTCGGTGTGTTGGCCATTTATCTTGGCTGCTTTTCGCCAAAAAAAGCCTCTGGATCACACCGAAGGAGTTGGGCTGGTTTCACAATTACTTGATTCGGGAAATCCTGCTCTCTGCGTACAATTAATGAGGGAAATTGTCTACTTTAAAAAGGTGGGGGACGCGTCTCGCGAAGTTAGAAGCTGTCGCGGCATTATGATCTATCGCGCCTCCCATATTTATATTATACCCCTGTCAAAGCCAGCAGCAATATGCGTCTACATTGCTGAGGTTGACCGGCCACAAAAATACTCATTTTCTCCGTTCAGGATTCAAAGTAAAGTTTAATGCAGAGAGTTTCTGCAGGAATTTCCGATGAAGTCTCTTTTCCGTTTGTCCGCCTTCGTCTCCGTGCTGCCGGCTAGAACCATTTGGCTGAGTTTAAGTAGTACCTCTCTGTCTGTCAAGTATACTTTTATTCAGCAGTTCACTTAATAGCTAGTCAACTAAGCTCATATTTCAACCTGAAGAATATACTAATATCGCTTTAGTGGGGCATAGTACGTAATATAACATAACCCGCTCGTCAAAATGGCTTCTCGATTGCTACTAAAACCTGAATTGAAATACGAGTATTAGCTGCTTAGTGGGACACCAGTGGGTTAACATGCTTCTTGGCTCAAGAAGCGCTTGCTTAATTTTCATAATTTTCCTGCAGCCTGTGTTGCTGACCAAGCAGACGACTGGAGCTGTTTCTTAAACGGGGATACGCACAAAAGCTTGATTTCGTGGACAGATAAAGTCGCATGGTCGAGGCATGCAAGTTAGCTGAAAATTTCTCTCAATGGAACAATTCTGTAGTCATTGCCGCTTTCCTTAGCTGATCAAAACCGTTTCTCCGGAGCATGTGCACTGGTTACTTTTAACCGTCGCAGTTCAAATACCTATAAAATTTGGCATTAAACAAAAGAAATACTGTTCAATTGAATGCGCCACCCGTTCGGCGGCCCGGCCGAGCCAACGCGACCTGGACCCAGCCGCCATGTTTGTTTGGTGGTGGCACCCTCTATAGGTCGCTGGAGTCGCGAATACTGCCACACTTCGGTGTCGTAGAAGGTGTTCTGGATGCTGTAAGAGAGTCAAAGCATCTGTCCCGGGAGCTTGCTCTCGATTTTTATATCGACAACCTTCAAATTGCAGAAAGCACTAGAACCCGATTTTGGACAATCCTAGGAAAAGTGAAAAACCTGAAGAATTACGCTCCTTTCGTTGTCGGTGTCTTTTGTGGTGACAGAAAGCCTGATAATGGTAGTGAGTTCCTTCGTCGTTTTGTGGATAAACTGAGAAGTTGTTACCTCGGGCATCAGTTTTGATGCAGAAAGCATCCCCGTGAGGCTGAATGCACTTATTGGCGACGCACCAGCAAAGGCATTCATCCTCAACACCAGGAGCCACACTGGGTACTGTAGTTGTACTAAATGCACCGTGAAGGTGCATTTAGTACAACATTTATCACAACTTGTATCTTCATATGAAAATCATTACATCAATATGGTTCTGCATTTTGGTTTAAACAGATAAGGGAGGCACTCACTTGATCGAATGACGTTTTAGCGAACGCTTGCGTTTCACCGAATGACACTTTATCGAATAGTGGGATGCCGCAAAGCTTTTCAAACTTTTCGAACTTTCGAATTTCCTATGCTAAGGAATTCAATAATTTTTGAACTTATTTCTCAAGAGAATTTGAAAAGTTTCAAAAATTTCAAATACTGAAAAGTCAGAAAACTTTTAGGGTAAAAGTTCAACCTTCGTCGAACTTCGAAAGACTGGCGGACGGTTTCATTTGAATTCAAGTAGTGAGGTACATTCATAACTTTTTTTTCTCGAACTTTTACATGCGGTGCTGCGTTTCTTACGAAAGACAATGTCGTTTATTTCAATTTTCTGGCATGCTTAGTTTTAAAGAAATAAATTTCCGAAAAGTTTAGGAAGGACGACGGGTTTTTGACGATTATCGTTTGTGCCAGATTTGAAGCGCGCTGTAGCCACAGCTATTTATGGTAGAGATGTTAAACTTTTTAAGAATGATCTATGTATAGCCTAGGTAAGTGTTGTCTTAAGATGTGATTATTGTTATTCAAGGCGAGTTTCGAAGAAACATCCAAATATGTATCTACATGCAATTATGCCCTAAACTTGGTATTTATTTTCGTCTAAGTTGTTTGAGGTATCGCATTTAAATTAACACCAGAGACAGTACATATCATTGCCATCTGCAGAATACAAAATAATGTATGTATTGTTTTTTTCACATAAAGAAATAAATTAACTCATAGGAGAAGATTTCTAATAATGCTCAAGTTCAGCACGTCATTAAAAGAAAACATTTTTTTTTCGCTTCACGTTCCTGGGACGTGTTTCTTTTAGCCTGTACACATTTTGGTAGGAGAAACTTGTTTCGAAGTTCTGAACCTCTGAATATGCAAAAATACAACACTTCCGGCGAATTCTTGATAGTTAATTTTTTTTCTCCAGATTTTTCTCGTCGCATTTATTAATATGTTTTTTTTTTTTTTTTTTCTTTACTATTGGCACAATTATTTAGGTCGAAAAGACATAGCTTTGAACTTCCGAACCACTAAGCATGTGACGAGTAGTGCCCTTTGACAACGAGTTTCTAACAATGACCATCTACGCGATCTTTTGTGCTGTGAAGAGCGTTAGTAGCTATACATATGCATAAGTAATTTCGGATTAAAATAAGCTCGACCACGCCCTCTTTCCCCGTATTGTTTTCCTTACAGAAGGAGGGCTGAAGGCCCCCCCCCCCCCCCCCCCCCCCCCCCCGTTTTTCCTCTTCCGACGCCACTTGTATGGTCGAACGCTCCTCGACCTCTAGTTGTGTCGGCTTCTGTGCTTTTTGCGAGGCGATTCCTCCGTTCCAGAAAATAAACCTCCAGGACAATTACAAACTTAACTTACTATATGCCAGCGTCACTCGGGCGATGTTTAATCGGATTACTACCAGCGTGCATGGGGTGGGGAGGTAGTTTGCCAGGTCGCTTCAAGGTTTTTCTGAGCCTCAACCTCCTGCCCGCCCTTGGCCATTTCGAACTGGATGAGTATCGTAAAACAGTGTGTTCGTGTGATCACTACTGCGTGATGCAGGTTAAAGACCCCCCTCTCCCCCCGGGCTGGCGGTCACAATTACTTATCTATGGTCACACGTCACTCTGGACTGGCAAATATTGCAGCACATCCAGGACACTCGTCGTCTCATTTAATTGCCTGACCAACTTCGCAGAGTCTAGATATCACACCCTAACTTTTCTAAACTTGATTTCGTGAAAACCAGTGAGTCGTGAAAACATTATTTGAAATTGAAACTGTGGATGAACTTGAAATTCGGACTTTGAAAACTTGGACTTGAAAGGAATTCATGAAGAGAATCGAAACCTTCGAACTTTATGCAGAAAGAAATTGAAATTTTCGAATGGTTCAAACTTCATGTCTATAGAAATTCTAAGTTTTCGAATTTTATTTTTAAGGAGTTTCGGAATCTTCGAATTTTTTGAACTTCAGATCCCAAGAAACTTAAATTTTTCGAATATCTCGAATTTCAAGTTAGGAAAGTTCTAAATATTTGAATTTATCGAACCTCAAGTCACAAAGTATTTGAAATATTCGAACCCGAAATTTTAGAAACCGTGAAAGCTTCGAACTTTTTGGATTCGAAACTCCACTGTGATCGAAAGTTGCGAATTTTTCTAAATTGAACCTTAGTTCACTTCGTAAACATTGAAACCTTTCGAAATCGAACCTAGTGTGGTTCGCGACATCCCTAGCCGGGACAAACCCTTCCTTTAAATACGTCAAGTCTCCTTGAGCTTCGAGACACATAAACAAAAAAAGCCAGTCTTTGGCGGTAATTCTGCATTTACTGGGTCTCAGTTGCGACGTGTCTGTCCGCTCCCCGCGCCTCGTAGCGGAATTGTTGCAGTGGGGGGGCTCGTAAACATTTTAGGGGGTTTCGGGCCATCTAAACCACTCCCCACTTCCCCCCTCTGTTCCCCTTCCTGCCTACGCCACACGCTTCCCCCTCTGCAAATATCTGCTGACCTTCCAGCATCTTGATCCATTTTTGCGCAGGAATGTTTGTTACAAACAAACCTGCCACTAAAATTCGAAAGTTACGCTGCGTGTTCTTTGGGTTACCCGCGGTGCCTTTTCACGAGTGGTAATGCTCAATGACAATAACAGCGTGATGACCTTATAAAAGATTGAGGATAAGGTGGCATCTCCGTTAACAGACGCAAGTGTTGCCACCACTCTGTAAGGGCCACCCAGCAACATTCAGGGATTCTACCCTGGAGCCACTGCTGCCTCTTCAGCCTTGTCTTGTTGTTCAGGACTGGAGTTATCAACCGGCAGAAGTAGATACCTAAGGTTGTTCCTCAGCTAGAAAACACAACAACTTATTAATCTCATACGTGATGTGTCTCTTTAACAGTCGACCAAGGCAGTACAGAATGACAAAGGAAAGAAGATTGACACAGCAGACATTGAAATCTAAACAACTTCTAAGAAGAAAGAGCTGGGACGACTGACACCCAAAGATGCAAACACAGCTGTACTGCGTTCACCCTCATTGATCTGAGACCTGATGGGTCGCATCTTCATACACCTCAGCCCCAACCCAAGTTTTAATACTCATTGTGTTTTCGGAATACAGAGTGTTTAATTCACGAGAACAGAATTTCAATCACATCATAATATAGCAGGGGTTGAAGTGGACGATAAATCTGATGTACTGATTCGCTAGGTTGGCTCTGAATATTAACTGGTTGGAGTGATCAGTGCATACTCACCTCATTCAAATGTAAATCTTAATTGTACTCTTTCATTCCTCAATTGCGATGCCTGTTTTTTTTTTAAATTTCGCACCCAGTTTCAGTTTGCTGAATATACATAGTTAAAGGTACAAACGAGTGTTGTTGCTTTCCGTTCCTTCCTGTTTATTAACCGTCGCCTTTCTAAACCTTGCAGATCAAACTCTGCAGGAATTTGGACGCAGATGTGAACGACACTTCACAGCTTTGGAAAGGTGGCCTGTCACCAGCCAAGTCCCCCTTCGGTGGTGCAACGCCTTTGTGCTACATTTTGTCTTTACACGAATTCGACACAGTCAGATCAAATGAGACGGCTACAGTTGAGCCTGCTGCACGCGAACTTTCCATTGTCTGTCTTGCCTTACTTTGCCGACCAACCGCCCTCACCCCCCCCCCCCCCCCTTTTCAAAGCCTAGCGGAGGCTTTCAACAATTTATTTATTTTAACTGTTTAATCCCTCTAGGTATGCCTTAATGCAGACAAATAGTGTGTCTTACTTTTGGTTTATTATGTAGAATCTCTGAAGGTGGTGTCGTATTTCTAAAACGGTGAAACAGTGTGCACTATCTGCGTGTTCGCCTTATTGTTTGCTCAAGTAAAGGCAGGTGTACTCATTTCTTACTGCCATGCTTACAACCGGAAATGCTTAAATCGCTGGCGACTTCTTATGACTGGCAGCGCAGCGGCCGGCCATCAGCAGTCACAAGATGGTTCACAAGCCCCTCCGGTCGTAAGCAGTCACAAGTGTGTGAACTGCCAAAATTTGTTCCTTTATGACAGTACTTTCATCTTGTGCCTACCAAAACTCTCTGCAGACATGCTCCTAGCGAACACATATGTGTGCTTCGAACAGGTCCGCAGACTGTTTTGGTAGACACAAGAAACGCGCCTCAGACGGTGTTTGCAGTTTGTCTTTTGCTTGCTGTACGAGCAGTGTGACTGGGACTTTGCGGAGCGAGTCAAGAAAACTACTGCAGATGATTGGTCTGCTAACGTAAGTGAACAATATAATTTGTATGCTTCGAAGCGTCATTCGCAGACAAAAAGAAAACAAGAAAATGCTTTCACGTCTTCCGTTAACGGACCGGAATATAGGCAGCCGTCTGCTAAAAGCCGAGTGCCGCGACAAAGTTATACGGGACGCAAGCTGAAACTATAATGGTCTGCTTTACTTCCGGTTTCATGCTATCTACTCCCGTATATAGCTGAAATTCTCCTACGTATGTAGTACTCGGGACAAATACTTTAAATACCTGGAGGCCCCTGTCACCATCCGTGTTAGTAAGAGGCTCTCACCAAAAGGACTTGCAAACAGACTAAAGATTATCATTGGTCGATAACTCTCGCAGACCAAAACGCTGGGACGTCGTGACCAATCAGTAACCGAGAATACTATCGCTCTCACCAGGAACCAAACACCGACCCCTAAAGTTGGTTTTGAAAAACTGGCGAAACAGGGCTGAACAAAATCGGTAAAAAGAGCCAGGCACGTAGCCGGGGGGGGGGGGGGGGGGGGCCATGGGGCCCGGGTTTTGCCCGAAATCTTCCATTTTGCTGGGACCTCCTCTCCCCCGTCCCCCTCATAAAGCATTTTGTCATGAAAGCCTCCCGTGTGCCTTCCAGTCTGGCAACGCCGGTGCTGTAGTCTCGTTTTTGTTCCTTGCGATACGTGTTTCTGCGATTCCTGCTGATCTCAACTGTTTGCCCCCTTTTCCTTTTGCCCAACCGATCCACCGGGGAGGAGGAGCTAAGCTTCTCGTCACCATTGAATTGCTGGCCACCGGGGATGTGTAGAAACCTCGATGGCTGTCGGCATACTCTCGGCACACTGCGAACAAAAAAACAGTACAATGTCCCAGCTGTTCACCCGGAACGAAGACTTTATCGAGGATAACCCCCACTCTTCGCAAAGTAAACGCCGCCCACGAGTTGGCGTGCATAGTGAAACAAATTAAACGTGTTAGTATAAATATATACCAACACTCGTTTGCAAAACACTATTTTACTCACCATAAAAACACTTGCAAGGATTATGTACCGTCATATGTCTTGGATCCTGGACTGCTGAAGAGCGATGCATTCGCGGAATGCTGCCGTCGATTAGTTTAGTAGTCCCTCTGAACTACTGCTTTGCTTGACGTGCTAATAGGTTGATGGTGCGTCATTAATATAACAGCCGGATCGAAATGAATGTTCAGCAGAACCAAGAACTATTAGCCCTCATTAAGCGACGTCGCGGCCATTTTGATTGTAGGTACTGCTCCTCCCTCGGCATTCCTGCTCTCCCAGTCCCAGGCTCTCCTAGAATTCCCTCTCCTAGGGACAATAGTTAACTTCAACCCACGGTTCGCGTTCGAGAAAACGGGCCCTGGTAGTGCGGTCACATAGCTCGGAGGGCTTTTGAATTTCATGCTCACTCGCAATGCAATATGACCAGTGCTCATAAAAGTGGTTGCCTGCAGTATTGGCTACAAATAAAAGCTTCTCCCGCAGCGCAAACCCGTTATGTTGGGAAGCGAGTGAGCGGGACAGTTAAACTCGCCAACAGGTCCAGGTTAGCAGTCAAGAGCCCGCTTTTATGCTTTCGACTACATCTCAAATATGTTTCTCGAAATGTGAGAGTGGCGCAATAATAATGATACAGCGTAAAGTAAGCGAGCGTTCACCTTTGCTTTTTAGCGTCGTTTCCTTTAACGTTCATGTGCGAAACGAAGTTGTCACGTCGCCTGGCTCTTCTGCACTTTGCATCAGCCTTCAATCGGTTGTAAAAGGCCTACTTGAGCGAGAAAAACAAAACAAAAAATCAAGCGCAAAACAGTGTATCTGAGCGATGTTGACCGGACCTCCCCGTTGCTCTGCACGAGCGAAGCTACGATGCTACCCAACATCGAGCTCCCAAAAAATCGGATAAAATAATAGATGCTTGCAGATGTTACATACAAATATCATGAGCCCTTCATGCCATCGTAGAAAGTGTCATATATTAATGAAATGTTTAGGAGCCCTGTAAGAACACACAACGCTAACGCCGTAGGTGCTTTTTTTGGGGAGCATGAATAGCACAGGAAAGCGCTACGGCTTTTCAAACGTTATCTATAATACCCTTAAAAAGAAAAACAATACAATCAGAATGTTTGCATTGGCTGTTTTTAATTTTATTTTCTCGTTGAATACGTTGCGGAACAGAGCAGTCATGCGGTTGCTGCACGCCACTTTCACACGCTACAGACGGCCACAGCGCTCTGCCAGTCGCCTCAAAAATGGCGTCGGAAGGAAGGTTGGCGCCACGTCTGACAGATGGCGGCCGGATCTGAACAAGGTCTATTGCTCACGAGCTACACGCGCTTGGAGGCCGAAAGATCCTTTTATGACGTAACGGCTGGTCGGGGTTTTTTCGTGTTTAAATCTTTGGGGAAAACGAACGAAATATTCAGATTTACGGGATAAAACTGCACTGGGGTCAACCTCTATCTCATTTTTTGGAAGAAATGTTTCAGCTTCTCTAATGAAGACGATCAAGAGAAAGCCACTCAAGCTTGTCTTGAGTTGGAAGAAATAAAAATAAAAAAAACGCGTTGCAATAGGGACTGTAAACTTTATACTGGTGATAATGGTGATCAATTTATACTGGAGATCACTTAACCAAATTATAATGTTTTATAATCAACTTCTGGATGATCTAAAGAGCTCTTTACCAATGAACGTGAACTAAGTATCTCAGCTAAAACTCATTCTCTCTAAGTGGGCCCCACTGATGTTAGTGCTTGGCAAAATGCGAGGCTGATTGATTGATCTACACTGCACATAATTTCATAAATGACGGCATTAGTCGCGTGGATGCGGCACAGACGGAACCGGCAAACATTTTCCTCCTCGCTAGTGGTTTGACGCTGCATATATAATGAAACATCTCTCGTGGAAATAGAAATGGTCAGTGTTATTTGGCCAAAACATTCACACTTGGAAATTGTATGGTCACATAGGACTAATTACTTTTCCCGCGTCCTTCAGATTGAAATTTCTCGCAGGTACCCCCTACTGACAAATGGTGTTGTTATCCATGCCGTTTAATCTCGAAAGTGGCCTTCAGTTTTTTACTTGATTAAACTGAACTGCTAATGCGCGTTTTCTCATTTGTTGCCTTCTTTTTTCTCGTCTCCGCGTCGTAATTCGTAATCATTTACTTACTGCACTGGTACCCTTCAGTTTTAGTTTCGCTCATCCAATGTGACGATACTTGAGGGCATGTAAAGTAACTTTGTGTTGGGGACTGTTTATTAATACTCATTCTTCTAAACTTTTTGCAGGCCGAGCTAACCGGAAACGCTCTTAAATGTGAGCAACCCTTCGTTGCCTAGGAAGGAGGGCCAGCCACCAGCCAGGTCAACTTTTACAGTGCAAGACCTTTGGGCTACATTTTTTCCCAGATGAATGGGTCAAACAAGTCGGATCAAATAAGGAATGGCCACAGCTCAGCCAACTACATGCAACATTTTTATTCCCTTCCCTACCTTTGTTTGCCGACACACCGTGCGCGTTTTGTTCACATGTAATTTCCAAAACCTATGGCGGTGATGTGCCGTACAGTTGTTGGTTCTGTGGCATGCCTGCCTTTTTTTCAGCACTACAGAGCGGGAGTGACGTAACTAAACCTCACTCTTTGATCGTATTTAGTTGTGTCTGTCGATTTGTGTGGGACTGTATTGATGTAATACTTTACCGCATGTTCGAGGTGAAGTGAAACTTTTGAAGTATGTATTTAATAGAGAAGGATTGCCTTTATGGATGATTCACGTGCAATTTTTACAATTAATTTTTTCGGGATTTTCAGTATTCAGTTTGATGCCCGTGTTTTTTCGTGATATGATTATTTTACGCTTTGAATTACACTGCAATACGAATGTAAACCCCTGAATTTCTCTACTTCATCAGCATGATGTGTATATGTTTGCTTGTTCTTTAAGTTCGTTCTGATTGGGCTTCTGTATTGGTGTAGTATAAAAAAATGATACTAAAGAAAATTTGGTCTTCAGTCCTAACAGAACTTGCCCACGCAGCATTCGACTCCGAAGGCCAGAGAACGGACTGCGAGGACAAGGGGGTGGAGCCCTCCTTCCAAGGAGCCGAATTGCAGAGGCAACCATGGAAGATGGACCAGGAGGGGAGGACAGACGGCAGTGCGACTTCTGATCCCAATCTTATGGTGCCCACAGAACTAACAACACCAGGTATGAGAAGACGCACACGGGACACTACTCATCCAGCCTCGCACCTCCTTAGCACACCCTCACAGATTCATGAACGGTCCCCACACGGATAGAAAACCTTTTTGTAGGCTCGGCTTTCCAGAAAATGGAAAACGTGAGGAGTCTGATGTGGTACACAAAGTTTTCCCCACGTGGAAACTTCATATAGTTTTATTTAGCGGCCTGCACCAAACCGAAAAAAAAAATATCGCAACAAAATTTAATGTTTTCTTTTTGTTTTTGTTTCTTATGAAAGGGGGGGTGTTACATTCCAAAGTCCAAGAACTACAACTCAAGTGAAAGTAAACAAACGAGCTGGGCTCAACTGAAGGAACATTCAGTCCGAGCACTCAAAGTTGCAATTGATACATATTATTTAATATCGGAGAAATGTATCATGCTGAGTTGCTTATTTATTACAAAATTGTCTTTTTTCCTTTAGTTGTGGTTGATTGAGTAGCTCTCACAAATGCTATAAATTATTTTCGACACATGAAATAGCCTGAAAACGTTTTGCTGCTTCAAATGATTGAAGCTTTTTCACAACATTAATTTGTGTTGCCGAAGTCGCTTTAGACTGGCAAATGTCCATATCAATGTCGATATAGAACCGCGTTTTTCCCTGTTTCAAATCGCTCGTAAAATATTTGCTGTGTACCTTAGCAATTTTTCAAGTTTCTAAGGTACACAACGATCATTCTACGAGCCTATTGAATGCTATTTTGTGTAACCTAATAATATGTGGGTGTGAACGACCCTTCCAGCGTTACTTAATACACAGTCACAATCATTATGAATGTCAACACGCTATCACCCAGCGCTCCGTACTGGCAGCGGTATGCAGCTGCAGTGTTGTAGGCGTTACCTGAAAAAAGTAAAGAAATATGTTACTCGTTACTTGCGAAATAAAGGAACGCGGTATCGTTATCGACAGAAAGTAGCGCACGTTACTTTTGCGTTACATTTCTTTTATAAATAGGCGGTAACAGCGCTTTTGTTTTATTTTGACGACAGCGTGTTTCGACACTGGGATGACAGGCGCGGGCGTTGGGGTTTTTCTAAGCGGAACTTTTTGCGTCCGTAAAAAACAGGCGAAATTTAGAAAATATGTAGAATGAGTGCAATAATTAATTACTTGAATCACGTACTACATTTCAGCTTAACTCTAGACGCAGCCTACGCTACGAGCCAATCGGACAAATTAATTAGCGTCAAAATCACAAGTCACTTGGCCTTGTTTGTTTATTTCAGCGATGAAAGAATACGTATAGAAACACAGAGAACACCATGATGGTTCCCTTTTCCCTCTCCGATAATTTCCATCAGCTTGTAGCGTCAGCTGCGTCTGGACTTCAGGTAAAACGAAGTATAGAAACTGGCAAAAAATACAGGTGTTCTTTTTTCAATTAAAACTTGAGGAAGAAAACAAGAAGGGATAGACAACTGTTGTCTTCCTCAAGTTTAATTATCCCTACCAACCTGCTCGTTCCGTCCTAACATTTTTCAAGTTTTCGGAAGATGTAACGAGTAACGTAATTCCGTTACCTGTTACTTGAAATAACTAACGTGGGTACATTACCCGTAAATGCCATGGAAAAGTAACGATTACGTTACCACGTTACTAACAAAAGTAAGACGTTATCGGTAACAATGTTACTTGTAACACGTTACCGCCAACACTGCTGCGGCGACCGCGGCGGCTTGACTTCCCTTCTGTATTTGGTTAGCAGAACGTGCAAGCTACCACAGCTGCCGCACCATGGGGCTGCCAGTGTCTAGTCTTTAATGATGGCCTGTGGACATTTACAAGCATTGCGAATGAACCTTTTTAACATCTCAAATCAATGAATACCCACTGTAGGCCGCACGGGCATAATGTAGGTCTACTGAACCATGTTTAGAATTATAAAAAATGCGCCAACCTTTCTTGCTCTGTCATGTCATCCCAACAGACTGCATTGGAGCATGCTATGGCGACAAAGTGGATACCTTTGACCGTGACAGCCGCAGAGCTGACACCTCTCCCCAGACCAACAATTCGGGCCCACACAAGCAGCTGACGCACCGACGACCGAACAAGCACCCGTGCCGCTTCTGTCCTTACTCATGCTCTTCCGCCACGATTGTCGCCGTTCACGAGAGGACTCACACTGGCGAGAGGCCCTTCAGTTGCGACGCCTGCGGAAAAACGTTTGCGAGGAAGTTTCACTTGATATCTCACGTTAAGATTCACACCGGAGAGAAGCCGTTCAAGTGCAACACGTGCAGCAGGGCGTTTACTCAGAAATGCAACTTGGCGGGTCACGAAAGAATTCATAAAGGAGAGAAGCCGTTCAGGTGCAACACTTGCAGCAGGGCGTTTACTCGGAAGTACCAGTTGGCGAATCATGAGAGGACTCACACCGGAGAGAGGCCGTTTAAGTGCGAGACCTGCGGTAGAGCGTTTGCGGCTGATACCAATTTATACAGTCATCAGAAGATACATCGCAAGTGATCGAAACCCTTACGTGCATCATAGTTGTGAAAGGGGTTTAAATGAAATACTCGAGCACCGACGTGTGTTCATTTGGCTTGGCGATAGGCCTGCAGGGGTTCTACTTGCGAGCAGTGTGTGTTTCACATGGTTCAAAATGTTTCAGCCTCTTAATTACAGTATAAACACAGATAAAAAAATGTAAATTTACCTTAGACGAAGCGACCAGAGTTCTTTTTTGTACACGAAAAAAAGAAAATACTTGAAGCCTAATCTTTTTTTGTTAATTTATAGTCATTGATCATGTGATGCATCTGGAAACTCTGGGTTGTCTGTAGGGTCACTAGTGTTCTTTACAGGTCGGCCTACTCATGACCATAAATATACAAACTCATAAAATAACTAAGGTCTTTCGATAGCAGCAATCTTGAATATTGCAAATGTTAAGAAAAGTACAAGAAAAACCGAGTAATGCGGAGGGGTCAACATAATTTTAAGATGTAAAAATAAAACTATATTCGAAACTATTTAACACACCAAGCTGGAAACTAATGCTTTACTCATAGGACTGCAACAGTACATATGTGACCCGGAAGATTTAGAAATGCAGTGTAATTTCCTATCTCATTTCGTGATATTCTTCGTCCTTTTTCTTTTTGATTGGTTTGTATATCTTAATTCTGATGGTATCATTCAATGTGCTTGCTACATGAAATACTTGTATGTATGTTTTCCTTTTGCATGATTTTTTTTTTGCACATTCATGAAGACGGCTCTGATCGTTTAGGATATTTATACTTTGTGCTATTCATTTGGTGTTCATATATACTTTGTTTCACCCTAGGCAAGAGCGCGGACGATGTTATGAGTTAAAGGGCCAATAAAACGGTGCAGAAAGCGCAACGCCATGGCGTGCTCTCTGCGCTTGATAGGACTAGCCGGTGGAGGAGCACGCACAGAGATGGCGAATACGGGCTAGTCCTATAGTCCTAGGAACTGCAGAGAACTCGTCATGGCTTTGTGCCTCTTTCGCTGTTTGATTGGCCTCTGGCTCTTAACATCGGCCGTGCTCGGACCTAAGCTGAAACGAAGTACAGTTTCACTTGAATTCGTGAGGCCTTTAGATATTCGAAATTTCTCTTGTAGTTGACAGATCATATACATGTGTTGTACTAAAGGCATAATTGACTTCATTGTGTATATTCATGTATCTAAAAACTGTATATGCATAATCCATCTAAATAGGTCTCAATCTGCGCTGAGTGTACAGTGGTTGTCACTATTGTCTAATGTGCCAGAGTTGATGGAGGTGGAGTCCTGTTCCCAAACAGAAAAACGGGCAAAATCGCTACTGCAAAAACTACGCACTGCACAAAAAAGAAGCCTGATCTGACCTTACCTTTTGGACAGCATAAAGTTATGTGTGCCAACGAAATTCACGCGACAGTGCGACATGTTCTACCCCGACATGCGATTAAAGGAGTCACCAATCTATCGTATTCAGACATCATGCAACCTCCTTGTCCAGCACGATTTTTTTTTCATGCCTTATTTTACCTTTAACACCTGATGTGTATTTTACGTACTTTGTTACGACTGTTTTATTATGCTGACTGTTCTAATATGACTATTGTGGTTTCCATATGTTTGCATGTTTCATAGGAATCTGACTTCTGTGCACCAATGTCAAAACCATTATGGTGTTTTTGGGCATGCAATAAATGAATATCAATCAATCAATCAATGAATAGTGGTGTGTGTCCTAGGAAAATTGCTAGAGCTCAATATAATGGGATATTTCATAAATTCTGAGTACCTAAATTGTTAAATATTAGTCTTAAAGGGATGGTTTCAAAGATAAAATTGCTCGGCATCATCGAGAACGACTGAATGCACCCATGTTATAATGGCATGAGGCACGCACAGCATTTTACGGCGTTCTGAAAAAATGCCCACTTTGGACACGTATCTGGCTCTCGGTTTCTTATCGGAGAGCATCTCCTCGTGGTCAATCTCGCCTCCCGATTGCCCGCGCAGAGATGCACTTCGATAAGAAGCCGAAAACAAGACAGGCTTCCTAATTGGTTGTTTCTTCAGAAGGCCGTCAAATGCTGGGCGTGCCTCATATCATTGTAGCGTGGGTGTTTTATCGTAGTATTCGGTGATGCTCAGCAAGATTTTATTTGAAATCATGCGTTTAAAATAAATAATTAGCAATTCATTTATTAAATAAAATACTCACCCAATTTTACTGAATGCTAAAAGTTTTTCTTGATGGCAGGTGCAAAGGGCCAAGGCCGGCAGGGTGGTGGAAGCTACGAGCCCGTTGGACCAATCATACGTCGATCTTTCGAAGCATGCCCACGCTCCCAGCCATATCCACGCAGAGGGCGTGGTCAGGCGACAAAAGGGAGGCGGTTGTCTGGTCCGGCAAATATGTAGCTCCTGCCGCACTGTCGGCTTCAAGGGGCTGTGCAACGATATTGGGTATTGGGCTTTTGGCACCTGTGGGACCCAAGCACTGTTGTGCCCGTTACACAAAACATGTAACAAACTAGCGTCACTCGTTAGATCGTCAAAATTTAACGAGTTCTGAGGTTCGTTACCGTCCTAAGAACGTAACAATATATCGTTACGGTTACTTTTAAAAAAGAATGAACGTTACTTTTGCGCCAATTTGAATATTACTCATATTCGACAGTGAAAGGCCGTGGATATGAAATTAGACGACAGTTCAACTTCTATGGAGTCATTTCTTTGTGTGTTATTGGTTTGTAAGATTTGTTGCATATGTTTATTATTTTGAAAACTGGCTTTATTGACTGTGCTCTTTTATTTTCTCTTTTTCGCAAATAATTCATTAATTTTTTGCACGACAATAAGGGCTCAGCAATAAACTTTGGTTGAATAAAACGCTGGTTTGAAAAAAGAAGTAACCACATGTCGCCAAACTTTTTCCCCATTTGAAGGGATACACTCTTGGGAGTATTTATAGGTACTCCCATGAAAATGGTGTGTAATGCATTATATTACAGTATACCCCTTTTTCTTGAGAATGTTGCAAAGGCTCTCCAATTAAACTGTTTTAGAAAGTGGGCAAACCAGCGCACTCTGTTGGGCATGCGCGGAGTGGAGATTGCAAACAGCTTCGCTGATTCTTTCATGAGTTTTTTCTGAAAGCCCTTAAACCCGGTTGTAAGCGCACCTAAAGCAGGGCTATTAAAGGTCTGCCACGAAGCAGTCCGGACATGAAGAAATTGATAAAAAATGAAAAGTTAGTTACAAGGACCATACAACTAGGGTTATCTCACATACAACTAGGGTTAACACTTCCGGCGAATTCTTGATAGTTATTTTTTTTCTCCAGATTTTTCTCCTCGCATTTATTAACGTGTTTTTTTTTTTCTTCTTTTTTTTTTTTACTATTGGCACAATTATTTAGGTCGAAAAGACATAGCTTTGAACTTCCGAACCACTAAGCATGTGACGAGTAGTGCCTTTTGACAACAAGTTTCTAACAATGATTATCTACGCGATCTTTTATGCAGTGAAGAGCGACAGTAGCTATACATATGCATAAATAATTTCAGATTAAAATAAGCTCGAGCACGCCCTCTTTCCCCATATTGTTTTCCTTACAGAAAGGGAAGAAGGGGGGCTGAAGCCCCCCCCCCGTTTTTCCTCTTCCGACGCCACTCTTATGGTCGAACGCTCCTCGACCTCGAGTTGTGTCGGCTTCTGTGCTTTTTGCGAGGCGATTCCTCCGTCCCAGGAAATAAACCTCCAGGACAATTACAAACTTAACTTACTATATGCCAGCATCACTCGGGCGGCGTTCGATCGGATTACTACCAGCATTCAAGGGGTGGGGAGGTAGTTTGCCAGGTCGCTTCAAGGTTTTTTTGAGCCTCAACCTCATGCCCACCCTTGGTTGTTTCAAACTGGATGAGTATCGTAACACAGTGTTCGTGTGATCACTACTGCGTGATGCAGGTTAAAGACCCCCCTCTCCCCCCGGGCTGGCGGTCACAATTACTGATCTACGGCCACACATCACTCAGCAGTGGCAAATATTCCAGCACATCTGGGACACTTGTCGTCTTACTTAATTGCCTCACCAACTTCGCAGAGTCTAGATGTCGCACCCTAACTTTTCTCAACTTGATTTCGTGAAAACCAGGGAGGTTTGAAAACATTATTTGAAATTGAAACTGTGGATGAACTTGAAATTCAAACTTTGAAAACTTGGACTTGAAAGGAATTCATGAAGAGAATCAAAACCTTCGAACTTTATGCAGAAAGAAATTGAAATCTTCAAATTTTATTTTCAAGGAGTTTTGGAATCTTCGAATTTTTGGAACTTCAGATCATAAGAAAATCAAATTTTTCGAATATCTCGAATTTAAAGTTTGGAAAGTTCTAAATATTTGAATTTTTCGAACCTCAAGTCACAAAATATTCAAAATATTCGAACCCGAAATTTTAGAAACTGAAAGCTTCGAACTTTTAGAATTCGAAACTCCACTGTGATCGAAAGTTGCGAATTTTTTTAAATTCGAACCTCGGTCGGTATGCAAATATAGAAATTTTTTGAAATCGAACCTTAGTTCGCTTTACAAACTTCGAAACCTTTCGAAATCGAACCTAGGGTGGTTCGCGACATCCCTAGCCGGGACAAACCCTTCCTTTAAATACGTCAAGTCTCCTTGAGCTTCGAGACACACAAACAAAAAAAAAGCCAGTCTTTGGCGGTAATTCCGCATTTACTGGGTCTCAGCTGCGACGTGTCTGTCCGCTCCCTGCGCCTCGTAGGAGAATTGTTGCAGTTGGGGGGGGCTCGTAAACATTTTAGGGGGTTTTGGGCCATCTAAACTACTCCCCACTTCCCCCCTCCGCCCCCCCCCCCCCCCCCCCTTGTCCTGCCTACGCCACATGCTTCACCCTCTTTGCAAATATCTGCTGACCTTCCAGCATCTTACCCATTTTTGTGCAGGAAAGTTTGTTACAAACAAACCTACCACTAAAATTCGAAAGTTATGCTGCGTGATCTTTGGGTTACCCGCGGTGCCTTTTCATGACTGGTAATGCTCAATGACAATAACAGCATGATGACCTTATAACAGATTGAAGATAAGGTGGCATCTCCCTTAGCAGACGCAAGTGTTGCCACCACTCTGTGAGGGCCGCCCAGCAACATTCAGGGATTCTACGCTGGAGCCACCGCTGCCTCTTCAACCTTCCCAGTTAAAAATGCCCATTGACTCTAATGGACCTTTTGTAGAAACATCGGTTCGAGAGTAGATGGTTCCAGTACCCTCTCTCTCTTCCTTCTGGCCGAGCAGAGAGGGAAGATGGTTTCGTTGTGTCGACTTCGGGGCGGAAGATTACCCACGATGGGGACAAAGGCGAGTTTGGGGGAGCCATATCTAGGTCACAGCTCCTCAATGGGTGAACGGGATGTAGCTGACGCTTTGGGTGTGGAACGGGTGCGAGAGGCCTTGCGCGCGCGTTGTTTTCTCGCCACTTAGCCTCGAACCCAGTCGCGTGTCTAGGTGGCAGCACATATTCGCCAAGAGGTCCATTGGAATTTCAATTGGTACCAATTGGTATCAGTGGGATCCAATTGGTATATAGACAACCAATTGGCCATTCCAATTGGAATGCATTTTCCCAAGTGGTCACACCAATTGGAAATATATATACCAGTTGGTCTTAATCAACCAATTGGCCATTCCAATTGGAACACATTTTGCCAATTGGTCACTCCAATTGGAAATATATATTCCAGTTGGTATTAATCAACCAATTGGCCATTCCAGTTGGAATGCATTTTTCCATTCTGTCACTCCATTTGAAAATATATATTCCAATTGGTATAAAACAACCCATTAACCATTCCAATCATAGAGTTTATGATTCCAATTGGAAATTAATTTTCCAATTGGTATTAAGCAACCAATTGGGGCAGTTATTCCAATTTGATTCTTTAGACTCTAAAAAGAAACCCCCCCAAAAAAAACATAAAAGATATTTTCAAAAATTCGTTTTTAAAAACAAAAAAACTTTCGTTTTTTTTTTTTTTTCTGTGACTCTTATATATATATATATACTATCTCTACTATCTATTATTATTCTGATGGCTTTTCGTTTTAGCAGTTCTTTTTTACTTTTACTAATAGTTTCGATTTCAAAGTTGGAGCGCCCCATCGCTAGTGACACCAATAGTAGCTTGTTTTTTCTGGGAGCATGTGTGTGTGTGTGTGGGAATGCGAGTAGGGGTATGTGAAAATTTGACATTTTCATCAAGTTTACCAACATTTGACGTTTTTTTGTTTTAATCAATGTGTCCAAAAAAAGCCTGGGGGAGCCGCAACATGCTGGGGTTAGCCAGCAACTCCGTCCCGCGGCAGCTGCGGTGAGCGCGATTTTTCTCTTTGTCCTTCGGACTCCTGAAGCAAGTTCTGAATATTTTCACGTGGTCAACCTTGTTTGCTAAAGTGTTCTTATTGCCAACTTCGCTTGTTTTACCTGCTTTTATGGTTGGAACTGTTGCCGCACGTCCGCGTTAGGGAAAAAGTTTGCCATGCGGTGCACACATCGCATTGTAAAACGCTTTCCATTGTAGCAAACAGTTTCTAGTGTAACTATTTCCTCATTCAGTGTTTGAGCCTTCAATATATTTGCTGTTTTCTTTAGGTTGCTCTTAACACCCTTTTTATTGCCACGTGTTGCTTGCAATATTTGTGAATTATTAAATGCTTCTATTGTGCAGAATGCAGCTAGCATGCTATCATAAATATTCATTTGAATGTGGACAGCTGTAAGAATAAAGCTAGCTCTGCTCTCTTTGCAATCAAAGGCATGTGTAGCCTCACACATGCAATTAATGACAATTGTATCCTTTCCGAGATCCAGTGTGCACAGAACGAATAGTTCTTTGCAGTCAAAATTGTTGAAACAAATGGTTGCACTGCAAAGCCTTGGCTCCAAGGCAAAGCGCCGGCCTACGGATGCCCAGGCGGCGGGTTCGAATCCCGGCCGAGGTACCCGCAATTTGATGGATGCTTATTGCAGATAAGGGTCCGTGTGACCATGCTTTCGGTTACATGCCAAAAGATACTAAGGTGGTCCCATTAATCCTCAAACCTCCACTGGGGCATGCCAGACGCCCGTCATTGGTTGGCATGTAAAACCCCCAAATTTGTCTGACTGCAAAGCTTTGGATCCCCTCTCAGCTGATAACAACATAGTAAATTTCTCTCACTAGGTATGTAAAAAGGGACTAATTTTGATGTAGAAGCTCAAGATGGCAGAAAGCTATTGAATTGAACGGACAACACACAACTCTCTGCTGCCAGGTGTGTTAGACTTGTGAGCCATTTATCCTTCCAAAATTTTCGACAAGCCTTGGATCACTATCATAATTCAGAAGCCCATACTAACTTATTATCCTTATTATCTAGCTTTAATTGATTTCTATGCCTTCATGTTTTACCCACGTCATGATACCGACTGGCATTTCTGCTAATGTACTCGTTCATTTCAGAATTTCAAGCAAGAAGAATGCAGCTCTGATGTTAATAGATTAAAATCCAGTTTGTGACTATTTACAGTGTCCGCAGACCATCCAGAGAACAAGTGTTGTCCAAGAGCATATCTGCATAATAACTGCGGGGGGGGACGCTAAACAAATGCTCAAGGACGTCATAGCGTCTTTCAGGAATCGTCCTACTCTTGGTAAAAGGAAAAAGAAAAATCCTTTTTGGTCTGAACTAGGTTTTAGTGTTTCCTTTTCTATTGTAATAAATGTGCTCCTTTTAATTTTGCTTGTTTCTCATCTTGCAAAGGTGTTTGGCACCATTTAGCCTGACTGCAAAGAACTCATTAAAAAAAAAAAAATAGAAAAGGTGTGCTTCTAAAATAATGTATTATTTCAGAACAGGCTTCAAATGTTTTGTATATAGTAAAACCCTATTTGTTAGGAACATATCCAACTGGCATATCTAGACGTACTTATGTGAGACATGCTCAATTTGAAATTTCATTTAGGAGTCCTTACTTTGACTGTGTAAGTTGCTAATGCATCAGAAAACCAATTTCTCTTGCTAGCTATCTTTCTAATTGGTTATAGTTTGAATTAGAAATGTGTGAACTGGCGGTTTTCTAAAGGGAATTTCAGACCAATTGGAGAAATACCTATTAGTGTGGTTCCGATTGGAACCATTCTAATCAGAACCACGGCAATTGGTATTTTTCCAATTGGGCGTTCCAAAACACAGTCGGTTATGATTCCAATTGGAAAAAAAACCAATTGAGATATTTCCAATTGGGTGTTCTAAAACACAGTTGGTCATGGTGCCAACTGGAAAAAAACCAATTGGTAATATTGAACCAATTGGCATTTTTTGCAACGGGGCGTTCCAAAACACAACCGATTTTGGCAATTGGTACCAATTGGAAAATCCAATTGGACCCAATGGGTATTTTTAACTGGGTTATCTTGTTCAGGACTGGAGTTATCAACCGGTAGAAGTAGATACCTAAGGTTGTTCCTCAGCTAGAAAACTCAACAATTTATTAATCTAATACGTGATGTGTCTCTTTAACAGTCGGTCAAGGCAGTACAGAATGACAAAGGAAAGAAGATTGACACAGCAGACATTGAAATCTAAACAACTTCTAAGAAGAAGAGAGAGCTGGGACGACTGACACCCGAATATGCAAATGCAGCTGTACTGCGGTCACCCTCGTTAATCTGAGACCTAATGGGACGCATCTTCATACGCCTCAGCCCCAAACCAAGTTTTAATACTCATTGTGTTTTCGGAATACAGAGTGTTTAATTCACGAGAACAGAATTTCAATCACAGCATAATATAGCAGGGGTTGAAGTGGACGATAAATCTGATGTACTGATTCGCTAGGTTGGCTCTGAATATTAACCGGTTGGGGTGATCAGTGCATACTCATCTCATTCAAATGTAAATCTTAATTGTGCTCTTTCATTCCTCAATTGCGATGCCTGTTTTTTTTTTTAATTTCGCACCCAGTTTCAGTTTGCTGAATATACGTAGTTAAGGGTACAAACAAGTATTGTCGCTTTCCGTTCCTTCCTGTTTATTAACCGTCGTCTTTCTAAACATTGCAGATCAAGCTCTGCAGGAATTTGGACGCAGATGTGAATGACACTTCACCGCTTTGGAAAGGTGGCCTGTCACCAGCCGAGTCCCCTTTCGGTGGTGCAACACCTTTGTGCTACATTTTGTCTTTACACAAATGCGACAGAGTCAGATCAAATGAGACGGCTGCAGTTGAACCTGCTGCACGCAAACTTTCCATTGCCAGTCTTACCTTACTTTGCCGACCAACCGCCCTCAACCCCCCCCCCCCCCCCCTTTTCAAAGCCTGGCAAAGGCTTTCAACAATTTATTTATTTGAACTGTATAATCCCTCTAAGTATGCCTTAATGCAGACAAACTAAATAGTGTGTCTTACTTTTGGTTTATTATGTAGAATCTCTGAAGGATGGTGTCTTATTTCTAAAACGGTGAAACAGAGTGCACTATTTGCGTGTTTGCCTTATTGTTTGCTCAAGTAAAGGCAGGTGTACTCATTTCTTGCTGCCATGCTTACAACCGAAGATGCTTAAAACACCGGCGACTACTTATGACTGGCAGTGCAGCGGCCGGCCATCAGCAGTCACAAGATGGTTCACCAACCCCTCCGGTCGTAAGCAGTCACGAGTGTGAACTGCCAAAATTGGTTCCTTTATGACAGCACTTTCATCTTCTGCCTACCAAAACTCTCTGCAGACAAGCTCCTAACGAACACATATGTGTGCTTCGAACAGGTCCGCAGACTGTTTTGGTAGACACGAGAAACGCGCCTCAGACGGTGTTTGAAGGTTGTCTTTTGCTTGCTGTACGAGCAGTGTGACCGGGACTTTGCGGAGCGAGTCAAGAAAACTACTGCAGATGATTGGCCTGCTAACGTAAGTGAATATAAATTGTATGCTACGAAGCGTCATTCCCAGACAAAAAGAAAATAAGAAAATACTTTCACGTCTTCCGTTAACTGACCGGAATATAGGCAGCCGTCTGCTAAAAGCCGAGTGTTGCGACAAAGTTATACGGGACGCAAGCTGAAACTATAATGGTCTGCTTTACTTCCGGTTTGATGCTATCTACTCCCGTATATAGCTGAAATTCTATGTATGTAGTACTCGGGACAAATACTTTAAATACCTGGAGACCCCTGTCACCATCCATGTCTTTTAGTGAGAAGCTCTCACCAAAAGGACTCGCGAACAGACTAAAGATTATCATTGGTCGATAACTCTCGCAGAGCAAAACGCTGGGATGTCATGTCCAATCAGTAACCAAGAATGCTATTGCTCTCACCAGGAACCAAACACCGACTTCTAAAGTTGGTTTTGAAAAGCTGGCGAAACAGGGCTGAACAAAATCGGTAATAAGAGCCAGGCACGTAGCCAGGGGGGGGGGGGGGGACCATGGGGCCCGGGCCCCGCCCGAAATCTTCCATTTTGCTGGGACCTCCTCTCCCCCCCTCCCCCTCGTACAGCATTTTGTCATGAACGCCCCCCCCCCCCTCCCTCCCCCCGAACCAAAATCCCTGATGTCCCTGATAAGAGCCATGTTTCAGCCTGATCCATGCCCACAGGGTCTGGGAAGACTTTACAGAGGAGGTGGCTAGAAGTTGTTAAAATTGCATAAAGAAAACTACGAAGGAACTAACGAAGGATTTGAAATGTGTCAAGCTATGGCGGTCTTGAAGATAAGACATCTTCAAAGGGAAGCTGAAGCGGTTTTGTTATTGAGGAAACACTTAAATTGTCTTGATTTGCCCTCCAGGAAGCCCAATGTCGAAATTATTTTTCAATTTTATGCACGGAGGCAGCAGAAAATAATTTTCAAAGTACCGCTGAAGCCCCTCCTTCCCGGAGCGTGCCGTCATAAAAGGAGTTTCCGGAATCTCCGCTCTCACGCATCTTCAGTGCCTATCAAAGTTATGCACACGACACTTGCTATTTAAAAAAGAAAAAGACGTAGTGCAAGGAGTGGCAAGTCTGCAATAGACCTTATTCATTATTAGCGTCATCTCTCGGCGGCCACGGGTACCATCAGAGGCTCGGCGCCATCTTTGAGGCTTCACCGTCCCCAACGCCTGACGCATTACGAACCCCTCTCCCCGCGTAACGTTCGGGCATGTTTTTTATTAGTTTTTTTTAGTATATTGGTGGTGTTAGTTGCTCGAAAATAAGTTACGAATATTAAGCGCTAGTTTGTTTTCAGTGGTTTCAATAAGTTCTTGGAAAAATGAGCTTCATTCCAGCACCACAGCAGGCCGACTCAGGCACTTGTTTTAGAATCGTGCGTTAACTTGCCTGACCAGCTGATAAAGCCTCTTTGCACAAGGAAGATTTGTATGATGTATTTAGCAGGGCCGTCAGCCCCTGTAGGATAGTTTGTTTTTATTTGGCATTTGCGGCAGCGGGTCCAAAGAATGCAAGCAGTTCTTCGCCCAGTGCGCCTCAACAGCTGGCGTGTGCAGACCCGAATTGCAGAGTTCTATGATGGGTGCGTTGAACGTTTAATCTTTGATCCCAGTTGTCTTAACCTTAGGAATATTGCAGATATAATTTCATACATACACAAAACACATAAATTTGTATTCAGTTCCTTGGGGAGATCACCGAATAGTAGCTCAAAACAAAATTATAAGGTGTGCGTGTGATACAGCCCGAATTTACGATAGTATTTTTATTGCAAGTAAATAAAAACTACGCTGAAGATTTACACTAGCATACTCACACAAGCGTATGCGAGGCACAAAAGCGTAAAAGGAAATGACCGGAGTGTCGCCGCAGTGCAAGTACGCAAAATACAACAAATTAAAAAAAAATCACCTTTCCACGGCAAGTAAAACATTTTACTTTTACGATCATGATAATATTACTAACATGATATTACAAACAAAAAAATTCAGTACTTGCGCATATATACTCTTCGGCCCCTTTAGAGAAAATGCAGAAATAAACGTCGGCGACATTTTAGTGTGCTCCTCCTGGTTGTGCGGTCACATAGCTCGGAAAGCTTTTGAATTTCATGCTTGGAATACAATATGACCAGTGCTCATAAAAGTGGTTGCCTGCAGCATTGGCTACAAATAAAAGCCTCTCCCGCAGCGCAAACCCGTTCTTTTGGGAAGCGAGTGAGCGGGACAGTTAAACTCGCCAACAGGTCCAGGTTAGCAGTCAAGAGCCTGCTTTTATGCTTTCGACTGCAACTCAAAAATGTTTCTCGAAATGTGAGAGTAGTGTAATAATGATACAGCGTAAAGTAAGCGAGCGTTCACCTTTGTTTTTTAGCACCGTTTCCTTTAACATTATGTGCGAAAAGAAGTTGTCACGTCGCCTGGCTCTTCTGCACTTTGCATCAGCCTTCCATCGGTTGTAAAAGAACTACTTGAGCGAGAAAAACAAAACAAAAAATCAAGCGCAAAACAGTGTATCTGAGCGATGTTGACCGGACCTCCCCGTTGCTCTGCACGAGCGAAGCTACGGTGCTACCCAACATCAAGTTCCCAAAAAATCAGATAAAATAATAGATGCTTGCAGAGGTTAATACAGATATCATGAGCCCTTGATGCCATCGTGGAAAGTGTCATATATTAATGAAATGTTTCGGAGCCCTGTAGGAACACACAACACTAACGCCACAGGTGCTCTTTTAGGGAGCATGAATAGCACAGGAAAGCGCTACGGCTATTCAAACGTTGGCTATAATACCCTTAAGAAGAAAAACAATACAATCCGAATGTTTGCATTGTTTGTTTTTAATTTTATTTTCTCGTTGAATACGTTGCGGAACAGAGCAGTCATGCGGTTGCTGCACGCCACTTTCACACGCTACAAACGGCCACAGCGCTCTGCCAGTCGCCTCAAAAATGGCGTCGGAAGGAAGGTTGGCGCCACGTCCGACAGATGGCGGCCGGATCTGAACAAGGTCTATTGCTCACGAGCTACACGCGCTTGGAGGCCGAAAGATCCTTTTATGACGTAACGGCTGGTCGGGGTTTTTTCGTGTGTTTTCGTGTTTACATCTTTGGGGAAAACGAACGAAATATTCAGATTTACGGGATAAAACTACGCTGGGGTCAACCTCTGTCTCATTTTTTGGAACAAATGTTTCAGCTTCTCTTTAATGAAGACGATCAAGAGGAGACAGACACTCAAGCTTGTCTTGAGTTGGAAGAAATAAAAAGAAAAAAAAAAAAACATTTGCGTTGCAATAGGGACTGTAAACTTTATACTGGTGATGAATGGTGATCAATTTATACTGGAGATCAGTTAACCAAATTATAATGTTTAATAATCAACTTCTGGATGATGTAAAGAGCTCTTTACCCGTGAACGTGAACCAAGTATCTCAGCTAAAACGCATTCTCTCTAAGTGGGCCCCACTGATGTTAGTGCTTGGCAAAATGCGAGGCTGACTGATTGATAATTTCATGAATGATGGCATTAGTCGCGTGGATGCGGCACAGACGGAACCGGCAAACATTTTCCTCCTCGCTAGCGGTTTGATGCTGCATGTATAATGAAACATCTTTCGTGGAAATAGAAATGGTCAGTGTTGTTTGGCCACAACACAGTTTGGCCACACTTGGAAATTGTATGGTCCCATAGGACTTACTTTTCCCGCGTCCTTCTGATTGAAATTTCTCGCAGGTACTCCCTACTGACAAATGGTGTTGTTATCCATGCCCTGTTTAATCTTGAAAGTGGCCTTCAGTGTTTTACTTGATTAAACTGAACTGCAAATGCGCGTTTTCTCATTTGTTGCCTTCTTTTTTCTCGTGTCCGCGTCGTAATTCGTAATCATTTACTTACTGCACTGGTACCCTTCAGTTTTAGTTTCGCTCATCTAATGTGACGATAATTGAGGGCATGTAAAGTAACTTTGTGTTGGGAACTGTTTATTAATACTCATTCTTCCTAAACTTTGCAGGCCGAGCTAACCGAAAACGCTCTTAAATGTGAGCAACCCTTCGTTGCCTAGGAAGGAGGGCCAGCCACCAGCCAGGTCAACTTTTACAGTGCAAGACCTTTGGGCTACATTTTTTCCCAGATGAATGGGACAAACAAGTCGGATCAAATAAGGAATGGCCACAGCTCAGCCAACTACATGCAACATTTTTATTCCCTTCGCTACCTTTGTTTGCCGACACACCGTGCGCGTTTTGTTGACGTGTAATTTCCAAAACCTATGGCGGTGATGTGCCGTACAGTTGTTGGTTCTGTGGCATGCCTGCCTTATTTTCAGCACTACAGAGCGGGAGTGACGTAACTAAACCTCGCTTCTTGATCGTATTTAGTTGTGTCTTTGTCGATTTGTGTGGGACTGTATTGATGTAATACTTTACCGCATGTTCGAGGTGAAGTGAAACTTTTGAAGTATGCATTTAATAGAGAAGGATTGCCTTTATGGATGATTCACGTGCAATTTTTACAATTAATTTTTTCGGGATTTTCAGTATTCAGTTTGATGCCTGTGTTTTTTCGTGATATGATTATTTTACGCTTTGAATTACACTGCAATATGAATGTAAACCCCTGAATTTCTCTACTTCATCAGCATGATGTGTATATGTTTGCTTGTTCTTTAAGTTCGTTCTGATTGGGCTTCTGTATTGGTGTAGTATAAAAAAAATTATACTAAAGAAAATTTGGTCTTCAGTCCCAACAGAACTTGCCCACGCAGCATTCGACTCCGAAGGCCAGAGAACGGACTGCGAGGACAAGGGGGCGGAGCCCTCCTTCCAAGGAGCCGAATTGCAGAGGCAACCATGGAAGATGGACCAGGAGGGGAGGACAGACGGCAGTGCGACTTCTGATCCCAATCTTATGGTGCCCACAGGACTAACAACACCAGGTATGAGAAGACGCACACGGGACAATACTCAATCAGCCTCGCACCTCCTTAGCGCACCCTCGCAGATTCATGAGCGGTCCCCACACGGGTATTAAACCTTTTTGTAGGCTCGGTTTCCCAGAAAATGGAAAACGTGAGGAGTCTGATGTGGTACACAAAGTTTTCCCCACGTGGAAACTTCATTAAGTTTTAATTAGCCGCCTGCACCAAACAAAAAAAATATTGCAACAAAACTTATGTTTTCTTTTTGTTTTGTTTTTTTATGAAAAGGGGGGGGATACATTCCAAAGTCCAAGAACTACAACTCAAGTAAAAGTAAACAAACAAGCTGGGCTCAACTGAAGGAACATTCAGTCCGAGCACTCAAAGTTGCAATTGATACATATTATTTAATATCGGAGAAATTTATCATGCTGAGTTGCTTATTTATTACAAAATTGTCTTTTTTCCTTTAGTTGTGGTTGATTGAGTAGCTCTCACAAATGCTATAAATTATTTTCAACACATGAAATAGCCCAAAAAGGTTTCGCTGCTTCAAATGATCGAAGCTTTTTTCACAACATTAGTTTATGTCGCCGAAGTCGCTTTAGACTGGCAAATGTCCATATCAATGTCGATATAGAACTGCGTTTTTCCCTGTTTCAAATCGCTCGGAAAATATTCGCTGTGTACCTTAGTGATTTTTCAAGTTTCTAAGGTACACAACGATTATTCTACGAGCCTATTGAATGCTATTTTGTGTAACCTAATAATCTGTGGGTGTGTGAACGACCTTTCCAGCGTTACTTAATACACAGTCACAATCATTATGAATGCATACCGCTGCCGTACTGGCAGCGGTACGCAGCCGCAGTGTTGTAGGCATTACCTAAAAAAAAAAGTAAAGAAATATGTTACTCGTTACTTGTGAAATAAAGGAACGCGGTATCGTTATCGACAGAAAGTAAGGCACGTTACTTTTGCGTTACATTTTTTTTACAAATAGACGGTAACAGTGCTTTTGTTTTATTTTGACGACAGCGTGTTTCGACACTGGGATGACAGGCGCGGGCGTTGGGGTTTTCCTAAAGCGGAAATTTTTGCGTCAGGAAAAAACAGGCAAAATTTAGAAAATATGTAGAATGAGTGCAATAATTAATTACTTGAATCATGTACTACGTTTCAGCTTAACTCTAGACGTAGCCTATGGTACGAGCCAATCGGACAAATCAATCAGCGTCGAAATCACAAGTCACTCGGCCTTGTTTGTTTATTTCAGCGATGAAAGAACACGTACAGAAACACAGAGAACACCATGATGGTTCCCTTTTCCCTCTCTGATAATTTCCATCAGCTTGTAGCGTCAGCTGCGTCTGGACTTCAGGTAAAACGAAGTATAGAAACTGGCAAAAAATACAGGTGTTCGTTTTTCAATAAAACTTAAGGGAGAAAACAAGAAGGGAGAGACAATTGTTGTCTTCCTCAAGTTTAATGATCCCTACCAACCCGCTCGTTCTGTCCTAACATCATTTTTCAAGTTTTCGGAAGATGTAACAAGTAACGTAATTATGTTACCCGTTACTTGAAATAACTAACGTGGGTACATTACCCGTAAATGTCATGGAAAAGTAACGATTACGTTACCACATTACTAACAAAAGTAAGACGTTATCAGTAACAACGTTACTTGTAACACGTTACCGCCAACACTGTGCAGCGACGACCGCGGCGGCTTGACTTTCTTTCCGCATTTGGTTAGCAGAACGTGCAAGCCACCACATCTGCCGCACCATGGGGCTGCCAGAGTCAAGTCTTTAATGATGGCCCGTAGACATTTACAAGCATTGCAAATGAACCTTTTTAACATCTCAAATGAATGAATACCCACTGTAGGCCGCACGGGCATAATGTGGGTCTACTGGACCATGTTTAGAACTATAAAAAATGCACCAACCTTTCTTGCTCTGTCGTGTCATCCCAACAGACTGCATCGGAGCATGCTATGGCGACAAAGTGGATACCTTTGACCGTGACAGCCGCAGAGGTGACACCTCTCCCCAGACCAACAATTCGGGCCCACACAAGCAGCAGACGCACCGAGGACCGAACAAGCACCCGTGCCGCTTCTGTCCTTACTCATTCTCTTCCGCCACGGCTGTCGCCATTCACGAGAGGACTCACACTGGCGAGAGGCCCTTCAGTTGCGATACCTGCGAAAAAACGTTTGCGGATAAGTCTCGCTTGATATCTCACGTTAAAATTCACACCGGAGAGAAGCCGTTCAAGTGCAGCACGTGCGGCAGGGCATTTCGTCATAAAAACACCTTGGTGGATCACGAAAGGATTCATACAGGAGAGAAGCCGTTCAGGTGTAACACGTGCAGCAGGGCGTTTACTCAGAAAAGGAACTTGGTGGATCACGAAAGGATTCATACAGGAGAGAAGCCGTTCAGGTGTAACACGTGCAGCAGGGCGTTTACTCAGAAATGCAACTTGGTGGGTCACGAAAGAATTCATACAGGAGAGAAGCCGTTTAAGTGCGAGACCTGCGGTAGAGCGTTTGCGGCTGACACAAATTTATACAGTCATCAGAAGATACATCGCATGTGATCGAAACCCTTACGTGCATCGTAGTTGTGAAAGGGGTTTAAACGAAATACTCGAGCACCGACGTGTGTTCATATGGCTTGGCGATAGGCCTGCAGGGGTTCTACATGCGAGCAGTGTGTGTTTCACATGGTTCAAAGTGTTTCAGCCTCTTATTTACAGTATAAACGCAGATAAAAAAATGTGAATTTACCTTAGACGAAGCGACCAGAGTTCTTTTTTGTACACGAAAAAAAGAAAATACTTGAAGCCTAATCTTTTTTTATTAATTTATAGTCATTGATCATGTGATGCATCTGGAAACTCTGGGTTGTCTGTAGGGTCACTTATGTTCCTTACAGGTCGGCCTACTCATGACCATAAATATAAAAACTTATAAAATAACTAAGGTCTTTCAATAGCAGCAATCTTGAATATTGCAAATGTTAAGAAAAGTACAAGAAAAACCGAGTAATGCGGAGGGGTCAACATAATTTTAAGATGTAAAAATAAAACTATATTCGAAACTATTTAAAACACCAAGCTGGGAACTAATGCTTTACTCATAGGACTGCAACAGTATATACGTGACTCGAAGATTTAGAAATGCAGTGTAATTTCCTATCTCATTTCGTGATATTCTTCGTCCTTTTTCTTTTTGATTGGTTTGAGTATCTTAATTCTGATGGTATCATTCAATGTGCTTGCTACATGAAATACTTGTATGTATGTTTTCCTTTTGCGTGATTTTTTTTTTGCACATTCATGAAGACGGCTCTGATCATTTAGGATATCCATACTTTTAGTGCTATTCATTTGGTGTTCATATATACTTTGTTTCACCCTAGGCAAGAGCGCGGACAACGTTATGAGTTGGAGGGCCAATAAAACGGTGCAGAAAGCGCAACGCCATGGCGTGCTCTCTGCGCTTGATAAGACTAGCCGGTGGAGGAGCACGCACAGAGATGGCGAATACTGGCTAGTCCTATAGTCCTATGAACGGCAGAGAACTCGTCATGGCTCTGTGCCTCTTTCGCTGTTTGATTGACCCTTCGGCTCATAACATCGGCCACGCTCGGACCTAAGCTGAAACGAAGTACGGTTTCACTCGAATTCGGCAGGCCTTTAAATATTCGAAATTCCTCTTGTAGTAGACGGATCATATACATGTGTTGTACTAAAGGCATAATTGACTTCATTGTGTATATTCATGTATCTAAAAACTGTATATGCATAATCCATCTAAATAGGTCTCAATCTGCACTGAGTGTACAGTGGTTGTCACTATTGTCCAATGTGCCAGAGTTGATGGAGGTGGAGTCCTGTTCCCAAACAGAAAAACGGGCAAAATCGCTACTGCAAAAACTATGCATTGCACAAAAAAGAACCCTGATCCCATAGTGGTGTGTGTCCGAGGAAAATTGCTAGAGCTCAATATAATGGGATATTTAATAAATTCTGAGTACTTAAATTGTTAAATATTAGTCTTAAAGGGATGGTTTCAAAGATAAAATTGCTCGGCATCATCGAGAACGAATAAATGCACCCATGTTATAATGGCATGAGGCACGCGCAGCATTTTACGGCGTTCTGAAACAATGCCCACTTTGGACACGTATCTGGCTCTCGGTTTCTTATCGGAGGGCATCTCCTCGTGGTCAATCTCGCCTCCCGGTTGCCCGCGCGGAGATGCACTTCGATAAGAAGCCGAAAACAAGACAGGCTTCCTAATTGGGTGTTTCTTCAGAAGGCCGTAAAATGCTGCGCGTGCCTCATATCATTGTAGTGTGGGTGTTTTATCGTAGTATTCGGTGATGCTCAGCAAGATTCTATTTGAAATCATGCGTTTAAAATAAATAATTAGCAATTCATTTATTAAATAAAATACTCACCCAATTTTACTGAATGCTAAAAGTTTTTCTTGATGGCAGGTGCAAAGGGCCAAAGCCGCCAGGGTGGTGGAAGCTACGAGCCCGTTGGACCAGTCATACGTCGATCTTTCGAAGCATGCCCACGCTCCCAGCCATATCCACGCAGAGGGCGTGGTCAGGCGACACAAGGGAGGCGGTTGTCTGGTCCGGCAAATATGTAGCTCCCGCCGCACTGTCGGCTTCAAGGGGCTGTGCAACGATTTAGGGTATTGGGCTTTCGGCACCTGTGGGACCCAAGCACTATTGTGCCCGTTACACAAAACATGTAACAAACTAGCGTCACTCATTAGATCGTCAAAACTTAACGAGTTCTGATATTCGTTACCGTCCTAAGAACGTAACAATATACCGTTGCGGTTACTTTTAAAAAAGAATGAACGTTACTTTTGCGCCAATTTGAATATTACTCATATTCGACAGTGAAAGGCCGAGGATATGAACTTAGACGACAGTTCAACTTCTATGGAGTCATTTCTTTGTGTGTTATTAGTTTGTAAGATTTGTTGCATATGTTTATTATTTTGAAAACTGGCTTTATTGACTGTGCTCTCTTTTATTTTCTCTTTTTCGCAAATAATTCATTAATTTTTTGCACGACAATAAGGGCTCAGCAATAAACTTTGGTTGAATCAACCGCTGGTTTGAACAAAGAAGTAACCACATGTCGCCAAACTTTTTCCCCATTTGAAGGGATACACTCTTGGGAGTATTTATAGGTACTCCCATGAAAATGGTGTGTAATGCATTATATTACAGTATACCCCTTTTTCTTGAGAATGTTGCAAAGGCTCTCAGATTTGACTGTTTTTGAAAGTCGGCGAACCAGCGCACTCTGTTGGGCACGCGCAGAGTGGAGATTGCAAACAGCTTCGCTGATTCTTTCAGGAGTTTGTTCTGAAAGCCCTTAAAATCCAGTTTTAAGTGCACCTAAAGCAGGGCTATTAAACCTGTGCCACGAAGCAGTCCGCACATGAAGAAATTGATAAAAAATGAAAAGTTAGTTACAAGGACTTACAACTAGGGTTATCTCACATACAACTAGGGTTAACACTTCCGACGAATTCTTGATAGGTATTTTCTTCTCCAGATTTTTCTCCTTGCTTTTATTAATATATTTTCTTTCTTTTTTTTTACTATGGCACAATTATTTAGGTCGAAAAGACAGCTTTGAACTTCCGAACCACTAAGCATGTGACGAGTAGTGCCTTTTGACAAGTTTCTAACAATGACCATCTAAGCGATCTTTTATGCAGTGAAGAGCAACAATAGCTATACATATGCATAAATAATTTCAGATTAAAATAAGCTGAAATAAAATACAGGTGTTCGTTTTTCAATTAAACTTGAGGAAGAAAACAAGGGTGAGAGACAAATGTTGTCTTCCTCAAGTTTAATTATCCCTACCAACCCGCTCCTTCTGTCCTAACATCATTTTTTAAGTTTTCGGAAGATGTAACGAGTAACGTAATTATGTTACCCGTTACTTGAAATAACTAACGTGGGTACATTACCCGTAAATGTCATGGAAAAGTAACGATTACGTTACCATGTTACTAACAAAAGGAAGACGTTACCGGTAACAACGTTACTTGTAACGTTACCGCAAACACTGCAGCGGCGGCTTGACTTCCCTTCCGCATTTGGTTAGCAGAATGTGCAAGTCACCACAGCTGCCGCACCATGGGGCTGCCAGTGTCAAGTCTTTAATGATGGCCTGTGGACATTTACAAGCATTGCAAATGAACCTTTTTAACACCTCAAATGAATGAATACCCACTGTAGGCCGCACGGGCATAATGTAGGTCTGCTGGACCATGTTTAGAAATATAAAAAATGCGCCGACCTTTCTTGCTCTGTCGTGTCATCCCAACAGACTCCATCAGAGCATGCTCTGGCGACAAAGTGGATACCTTTGACCGTGACAGCCGCAGAGGTGACACCTCTCCCCAGACCAACAATTCGGGCCCACACAAGCAGCAGACGCACCGACGACCGAACAAGCACCCGTGCCGCTTCTGTCCTTACTCAAGCTCTTCCACCACGGCTGTCGCCGTTCATGAGAGGACTCACACTGGCGAGAGGCCCTTCAGTTGCGATGCCTGCGAAAAAACGTTTGCGAATAAGTCTCACTTGGTATCTCACGTTAAAATTCACACCGGAGAGAAGCCGTTCAAGTGCAGCACGTGCGGCAGGGCATTTAGTCATAAAAACACCTTGGTGGATCACGAAAGGATTCATACAGGAGAGAAGCCATTCAGGTGCAACACGTGCAGCAGGGCGTTTACTCAGAAATGCAACTTGGCTGGTCATGAAAGAATTCATAGAGGAGAGAAGCCGTTCAGGTGCAAAACTTGCAGCAGGGCGTTTACTCGGAAGTACCAGTTGGCGAATCATGAGAGGACTCACACCGGAGAGAAGCCGTTTAAGTGCAAGACCTGCGGTAGAGCGTTTGCGACTGATGCCAATTTATACAGTCATCAGAAGATACATCGCAAGTGATTGAAACCCTTACGTGCATCATAGTTGTGAAAGGGGTTTAAACGAAATACTCGAGCATCGACGTGTGTTCATTTGGCTTGGCGATAGGCCTGCAGGGGTTCTACTTGCGAGCAGTGTGTGTTTCACATGGTTCAAAATGTTTCAGCCTCTTATTTACTGTATAAACACGGATAAAAAAATGTGAATTTACCTTAGACGAAGCGACCAGAGTTCTTTTTTGTACACGAAAAAAAGAAAATACTTGAAGCCTAATCTTTTTTTATTAATTTATAGTCATTGATCATGTGATGCACCTGGAAACTCTGGGTTGTCTGTAGGGTCACTTGTGTTCCTTACAGGTCGGCCTACTCATGACCATAAATATACAAACTCATAAAATAACTAAGATCTTTCAATAGCAGCAATCTTGAATATTGCAAATGTTAAGAAAAGTTCAAGAAAAACCGAGTAATGCGGAGGGGTCAACATAATTTTAAGATGTAAAAATAAAACTTTATTCGAAACTATTTAACACACCAAGCTGGAAACTAATGCTTTACTCATAGGACTGCAACAGTATATACGTGACTCGAAGGTTTAGAAATGCAGTGTAATTTCCTATCTCGTTTCGTGATATTCTTCGTCCTTTTTCTTTTTGATTGGTTTGAGTATCTTAATTCTGATGGTGTCATTCAATGTGCTTGCTACATGAAATACTTGTATGTATGTTTTCCTTTTGCATGATTTTATTATTTTTTTTGCACATTCATGAAAACGGCCCTGATCATTTAGGATATCCATACTTTTAGTGCTATTCATTTGGTGTTCATATATGCTTTGTTTCACCCTAGGCAAGAGCGCGGACAATGTTATGAGTTGGAGGGCCAATAAAACGGTGCAGAAAGCGCAACGCCATGGCGTGCTCTCTGCGCTTGATAGGACTAGCCGGTGGAGGAGCAGGCACAGAGAGATGGCGAATACGGGCTAGTCCTATAGTCCTATGAACTGCAAAGAACTCGTCATGGCTCTGTGCCTCTTTCGCTGTTTGATTGGTCCTTGGGCTCGTAACATCGGCCACGCTCGGACCTAAGCTGAAACGAAGCACGGTTTCACTTGAATTCGTCAGGCCTTTAAATATTCGGAATTCCTCTTGTAGTAGACGGATCACACACATGTGTTGTACTAAAGGCATAATTGACTTCATTGTGTATATTCATGTATCTAAAAAATGTATATGCGTAATCCATCTAAATCGCTCTCAATCTGCGCTGAGTGTACAGTGGTTGTCACTATTGTCTTATGTGCCAGAATTGATGGAGGTGGAGTCCTGTTCCCAAACGTATAAAACATTTGTTTTGACATATATACTGTGTGTTTCCGGAAAAACGGGCGAAATCGCTACTGCAAAACTATGCATTGCACAAAAAAGAAGCCTGATCGCATAGTGGTGTGTGTCCAAGAAAAATTGCTAGAGCTCAATATAATGGAATATTTAATAAATTCTGAGTACTTAAATTGTTAAATATTAGTCTTAAAGGGATGGTTTCAAAGATAAAATTGCTCGGCATCATCGAGAACGACTAAATGCACCCATGTTATAATGGCATGAGGCATGCGCAGCATTTTACGGCGTTCTGAAAAAATGCCCACTTTGGACACGTATCTGGCTCTCGGTTTCTTATCGGAGAGCATCTCCTCGTGGTCAATCTCGCCTCCCCATTGCCCGCGTGGAGATGCACTTCGATAAAAGCCGAAAACAAGACAGGCTTCTAAATTGAGTATTTCTTCAGAACGCCGTAAAATGCTGCGCGTGCCTCATATCATTGTAGCGTAGGTGTTTTATCGTAGTATTCAATGATGCTCAGCAAGATTCTATTAGAAACCATGCGTTTAAAATCAATAATTAGCAATTCATTTATTAAATAAAATACCCAACTTTATTGAACGCTAAAAGTTTTTCTTGATGGCAGGTGCAAAGGGCCAAGGCCGGCAGGGTGGTGGAAGCTACGAGCCCGTTTGACCAGTCGTACGTCGATCTTTCGAAGCGTGCCCGCGCACCCAGCAATATCCACGCAGAGGGCGTGGTCAGGCGATAAAAGGGAGGCGGTTGTCTGGTCCGGCAAATATGTAGCTCCCGCCGCACTGTCAGCTTCAAGGGGCTGTGCAACGATTTAGGGTATTGGGCTTTCGGCACCTGTGGGACCCAAGCACTATTGTGCCCGTTACACAAAACATGTAACAAACTAGCGTCACTCATTAGATCGTCAAAACTTAACGAGTTCTGATATTCGTTACCGTCCTAAGAACGTAACAATATACCCTTACGGTTACTTTTAAAAAAGAATGAACGTTACTTTTGCGCCAATTTGAATATTACTCATATTCGACAGTGGAAGGCCGAGGATATGAACTTAGACGACAGTTCAACTTCTATGGAGTCATTTCTTTGTGTGTTATTAGTTTGTAAGATTTGTTGCATATGTTTATTATTTTGAAAACTGGCTTTATTGACTGTGCTCTCTTTTATTTTCTCTTTTTCGCAAATAATTCATTAATTTTTTGCACGACAATAAGGGCTCAGCAATAAACTTTGGTTGAATAAAACGCTGGTTTGAACAAAGAAGTAACCACATGTCGCCAAACTTTTTCCCCATTTGAAGGGATACACTCTTGGGAGTATTTATAGGTACTCCCATGAAAATGGTGTGTAATGCATTATATTACAGTATACCCCTTTTTCTTGAGAATGTTGCAAAGGCTCTCCAATTTAACTGTTTTAGAAAGTGGGCGAACCAGCGCACTCTGTTGGGCATGCGCGGAGTGGAGATTGCAAACAGCTTCGCTGATTCTTTCATGAGTTTGTTCTGAAAGCCCTTAAACCCGGTTGTAAGCGCACCTAAAGCAGGGCTATTAAAGGTCTGCCACGAAGCAGTCCGGACATGAAGAAATTGATAAAAAATGAAAAGTTAGTTACAAGGACCATACAACTAGGGTTATCTCACATACAACTAGGGTCAACACTTCTGGCGAATTCTTGATAGTTATTTTTTTTCTCCAGATTTTTCTCCTCGCATTTATTAACGTGTTTTTTTTTTTCTTCTTTTTTTTTTACTATTGGCACAATTATTTAGGTCGAAAAGACATAGCTTTGAACTTCCGAACCACTAAGCATGTGACGAGTAGTGCCTTTTGACAACAAGTTTCTAACAATGATTATCTACGCGATCTTTTATGCAATGAAGAGCGACAGTTGCTATACATATGCATAAATAATTTCAGATTAAAATAAGCTCGACCACGCCCTCTTTCCCCGTATTGTTTTCCTTACAGAAAGGGAAAAAGGGGGGCTGAAGCCCCCCCCCCCCGTTTTTCCTCTTCCGACGCCACTTGTATGGTCGAACGCTCCTCGACCTCGAGTTGTGTCGGCTTCTGTGCTTTTTGCGAGGCGATTCCTCCGTCCCAGAAAATAAACCTCCAGGACAGTTACAAACTTAACTTACTATATGCCAGCATCACTCGGGCGGCGTTCGATCGGATTACTACCAGCATTCAAGGGGTGGGGAGGTAGTTGGCCAGGTCGCTTCAAGGTTTTTCTGAGCCTCAACCTCATGCCCACCCTTGGTTGTTTCAAACTGGATGAGTATCGTAACACAGTGTTCGTGTGATCACTACTGCGTGATGCAGGTTAAAGACCCCCCTCTCCCCCTGGGCTGGCGGTCACAATTACTGATCTATGGCCACACGTCACTCAGCAGTGGCAAATATTCCAGCACATCTGGGACACTTGTCGTCTTATTTAATTGCCTGACCAACTTCGCAGAGTCTAGATGTCGCACCCTAACTTTTCTCAACTTGATTTCGTGAAAACCAGTGAGGTTTGAAAACATTATTTGAAATTGAAACTGTGGATGAACTTGAAATTCGAACTTTGAAAACTTGGACTTGAAAGGAATTCATGAAGAGAATCAAAACCTTCGAACTTTATGCAGAAAGAAATTGAAATCTTCAAATTTTATTTTCAAGGAGTTTTGGAATCTTCGAATTTTTGGAACTTCAGATCACAAGAAAATCAAATTTTTCGAATATCTCGAATTTAAAGTTTGGAAAGTTCTAAATATTTGAATTTTTCGAACCTCAAGTCACAAAATATTCAAAATATTCTAACCCGAAATTTTAGAAACTGTGAAAGCTTCGAACTTTTAGAATTCGAAACTCCACTGTGATAGAAAGTTGCGAATTTTTTAAATTCGAACCTCGGTCGGGATGCAAATATAGAAAGTTTTTGAAATCGAACCTTAGTTCGCTTTGCAAACTTCGAAACCTTTCGAAATCGAACCTAGGGTGGTTCGCGACATCCCTAGCCGGGACAAACCCTTCCTTTAAATATGTCAAGTCTCCTTGAGCTTCGAGACACACAAACAAAAAAAAGCCAGTTTTTGGCGGTAATTCCGCATTTACTGGGTCTCAGCTGCGACGTGTCTGCCCGCTCCCTGCGCCTCGTAGGAGAATTGTTGCAGTTGGGGGGGGCTCGTAAACATTTTAGGGGGCTTTGGGCCATCTAAACTACTCCCCACTTCCCCCCTCCGCCCCCCCCCCCCCTTGTCCTGCCTACGCCACATGCTTCACCCTCTTTGCAAATATCTGCTGACCTTCCAGCATCTTATTCATTTTTGTGCAGGAAAGTTTGTTACAAACAAACCTACCACTAAAATTCGAAAGTTATGCTGCGTGATCTTTGGGTTACCCGCGGTGCCTTTTCATGAGTGGTAATGCTCAATGACAATAACAGCATGATGACCTTATAACAGATTGAAGATAAGGTGGCATCTCCGTTAGCAGACGCAAGTGTTGCCACCACTCTGTGAGGGCCGCCCAGCAACATTCAGGGATTCTACGCTGGAGCCACCGCTGCCTCTTCAACCTTCCCAGTTAAAAATGCCCATTGACTCTAATGGACCTTTTGTAGAAACATCGGTTCGAGAGTAGATGGTTCCAGTACCCTCTCTCTCTTCCTTCTGGCCGAGCAGAGAGGGAAGATGGTTTCGTTGTGTCGACTTCGGGGCGGAAGATTACCCACGATGGGGACAAAGGCGAGTTTGGGGGAGCCATATCTAGGTCACAGCTCCTCAATGGGTGAACGGGATGTAGCTGACGCCTTGGGTGTGGAACGGGTGCGAGAGGCCTTGCGCGCGCGTTGTTTTCTCGCCACTTAGCCTCGAACCCAGTCGCGTGTCTAGGTGGCAGCACATATTCGCCAAGAGGTCCATTGGAATTTCAATTGGTACCAATTGGTATCAGTGGGATCCAATTGGTATATAGACTACCAATTGGCCATTCCAATTGGAATGCATTTTCCCAAGTGGTCACACCAATTGGAAATATATATACCAGTTGGTCTTAATCAACCAATTGGCCATTCCAATTGGAACACATTTTGCCAATTGGTCACTCCAATTGGAAATATATATTCCAGTTGGTATTAATCAACCAATTGGCCATTCCAGTTGGAATGCATTTTTCCATTCTGTCACTCCAATTGAAAATACATATTCCAATTGGTATAAAACAACCCATTAACCATTCCAATCATAGAGTTTATGATTCCAATTGGAAATTAATTTTCCAATTGGTATTAAGCAACCAATTGGGGCAGTTATTCCAATTTGATTCTTTAGACTCTAAAAAGAAACCCAAAAAAAAAAACATAAAAGATATTTTCAAAAATTCGTTTTTAAAAACAAAAAAACTTTCGTTTTTTTTTCTGTGACTCTTATATATATATATATATATATATATATACTATCTCTACTATCTATTATTATTCTGATGGCTTTTCGTTTTAGCAGTTCTTTTTTACTTTTACTAATAGTTTCGATTTCAAAGTTGGAGCGCCCCATCGCTAGTGACACCAATAGTAGCTTGTTTTTTCTGGGAGCATGTGTGTGTGTGTGTGTGGGAATGCGAGTAGGGGTATGTGAAAATTTGACATTTTCATCAAGTTTACCAACATTTGACGTTTTTTTGTTTTAATCAATGTGTCCAAAAAAAGCCTGGGGGAGCCGCAACATGCTGGGGTTAGCCAGCAACTCCGTCCCGCGGCAGCTGCGGTGAGCGCGATTTTTCTCTTTGTCCTTCGGACTCCTGAAGCAAGTTCTGAATATTTTCACGTGGTCAACCTTGTTTGCTAAAGTGTTCTTATTGCCAACTTCGCTTGTTTTACCTGCTTTTATGCTTGGAACTGTTGCCGCACGTCCGCGTTGGGGAAAAAGTTTGCCATGCGGTGCACACATCGCATTGTAAAACGCTTTCCATTGTAGCAAACAGTTTCTAGTGTAACTATTTCCTCATTCAGTGTTTGAGCCTTCAATATATTTGCTGTTTTCTTTAGGTTGCTCTTAACACCCTTTTTGATTGCCACGTGTTGCTTGCAATATTTGTGAATTATTAAATGCTTCTATTGTGCAGAATGCAGCTAGCATGCTATCGTAAATATTCATTTGAATGTGGACAGCTGTAAGAATAAAGCTAGCTCTGCTCTCTTTGCAATCAAAGGCATGTGTAGCCTCACACATGCAATTAATGGCAATTGTATCCTTTCCGAGATCCAGTGTGCACAGAACGAATAGTTCTTTGCAGTCAAAATTGTTGAAACGAATGGTCGCACTGCAAAGCCTTGGCTCCAAGGCAAAGCGCCGGCCTACGGATGCCCAGGCGGCGGGTTCGAATCCCGGCCGAGGTGCCCGCAATTTGATGGATGTTTATTGCAGATAAGGGTCCGTGTGACCATGCTTTCGGTTACATGCCAAAAGATACTAAGGTGGTCCCATTAATCCTCAAACCTCCACTGGGGCATGCCAGACGCCTGTCATTGGTTGGCATGTAAAACCCCCAAATTTGTCTGACTGGCAAAGCTTTGGATCCCCTCTCAGCTGATAACAACATAGTAAATTTCTCTCACTAGGTATGTAAAAAGGGACTAATTTTGATGTATAAGCTCAAGATGGCAGAAAACTATTGAATTGAACGGACAACACACAACTCTCTGCTGCCAGGTGTGTTAGACTTGTGAGCCATTTATCCTTCCAAAATTTTCGACAAGCCTTGGATCACTATCATAATTCAGAAGCCCATACTAACTTATTATCCTTATTATCTAGCTTTAATTGATTTCTATGCTTTCATGTTTTACCCACGTCATGATACCGACTGGCATTTCTGCTAATGTACTCGTTCATTTCAGAATTTCAAGCAAGAAGAATGCAGCTCTGATGTTAATAGATTAAAATCCAGTTTGTGACTATTTACAGTGTCCGCAGACCATCCAGAGAACAAGTGTTGTCCAAGAGCATATCTGCATAATAACTGTGGGGGGGACGCTAAACAAATGCTCAAGGACGTCATAGCGTCTTTCAGGAATCGTCCTACTCTTGGTAAAAGGAAAAAGAAAAATCCTTTTTGGTCTGAACTAGGTTTTAGTGTTTCCTTTTCTATTGTAATAAATGTGCTCCTTTTAATTTTGCTTGTTTCTCATATCTTGCAAAGGTGTTTGGCACCATTTAGCCTGACTGCAAAGAACTCATTAAAAAAAAAAAATAGAAAAGGTGTGTTTCTAAAATAATGTATTATTTCAGAACAGGCTTCAAATGTTTTGTATATAGTAAAACCCTATTTGTTAGGAACATATCCAACTGGCATATCTAGACGTACTTATGTGAGACATGCTCAATTTGAAATTTCATTTAGGAGTCCTTCCTTTGGCTGTGTAAGTTGCTAATGCATCAGAAAACCAATTTCTCTTGCTAGCTATCTTTCTAATTGGTTATAGTTTGAATTAGAAATGTGTGAACTGGCGGTTTTCTAAAGGGAATTTCAGACCAATTGGAGAAATACCTATTGGTGTGGTTCCGCTTGGAACCATTCTAGTCAGAACCACAGCAATTGGTATTTTTCCAATTGGGCGTTCCAAAACACAGTCGGTTATGATTCCAATTGGAAAAAAAACCAATTGAGATATTTCCAATTGGGTGTTCTAAAACACAGTTGGTCATGGTGCCAACTGGAAAAAAACCAATTGGTAATATTGAACCAGTTTTCATTTTTTCCAACGGGGCGTTCCAAAACACAACCGATTTTGGCAATTGGTACCAATTGGAAAATCCAATTGGACCCAATGGGTATTTTTAACTGGGTTGTTATCTTGTTCAGGACTGGAGTTATCAACCGGTAGAAGTAGATACCTAAGGTTGTTCCTCAGCTAGAAAACTCAACAATTTATTAATCTCATACGTGATGTGTCTCTTTAACAGTCGACCAAGGCAGTACAGAATGACAAAGGAAAGAAGATTGACACAGCAGACATTGAAATCTAAACAACTTCTAAGAAGAAGAGAGAGCTGGGACGACTGACACCCGAATATGCAAACGCAGCTGTACTGCGGTCACCCTCGTTAATCTGAGACCTAATGGGACGCATCTTCATACGCCTCAGCCCCAAACCAAGTTTTAATACTCATTGTGTTTTCGGAATACAGAGTGTTTAATTCACGAGAACAGAATTTCAATCACAGCATAATATAGCAGGGGTTGAAGTGGACGATAAATCTGATGTACTGATTCGCTAGGTTGGCTCTGAATATTAACTGGTTGGGGTGATCAGTGCATACTCATCTCATTCAAATGTAAATCTTAATATTGCTCTTTCATTCCTCAATTGCGATGCCTGTTTTTTTTTTTAATTTCGCACCCAGTTTCAGTTTGCTGAATATACGTAGTTAAGGGTACAAACGAGTATTGTCGCTTTCCGTTCCTTCCTGTTTATTAACCGTCGTCTTTCTAAGCCTTGCAGATCTAGCTCTGCAGGAAGTTGGACTCAGATGTGAATGACACTTCACCGCTTTGGAAAGGTGGCCTGTCACCAGCCGAGTCCCCTTTCGGTGGTGCAACGCCTTCGTGCTACATTTTGTCTTTACACGAATGCGACAGAGTTAGATAAAATGAGACGGCTACAGTTGAGCCTGCTGCACGCAAACTTTCCATTGCCAGTCTTATTTTACTCTGCCGACCAACCGCCCTCAACCCCCCCCCCCCCCTTTTCAAAGCCTAGCACATTATTTCAACAATTTATTTATTTAAACTGTATAATCCCTCTAAGTATGCCTTAATGCAGACAAACTAAGTAGCATGTCTTACTTTTGGTTTATTATGTAGAATCTCTGAAGGTGGTGTCTTATTTCTAAAACGGTGAAACAGAGTGCACTATTTGCGTGTTTGCCTTATTGTTTGCTCAAGTAAAGGCAGGTGTACTCATTTCTTACTGCCATGCTTACAACCGGAGATGCTTAAAACACTGGCGACTACTTATGACTGGCAGCGCAGCGGCCGGCCATCAGCAGTCACAAGATGGTTCACAAGCCCCTCCGGTCGGAAGCAGTCACAAGTGTGAACTGCCAAAATTGGTTCCTTTATGACAGTACTTTCATCTTGGGCCTACCAAAATTCTCTGCAGACATGCTCCTAGTGAACACATATGTGTGCTTCGAACAGGTCCGCAGACTGTTTTGGTAGACACAAGAAACGCGCCTCAGACGGTGTTTGCAGTTTGTCTTTTGCTTGCTGTACGAGCAGTGTGACCGGGACTTTGCGGAGCGAGTCAAGAAAACTACTGCAGATGATTGGTCTGCTTAATGTAAGTGAACAATATAATTTGTATGCTTCGAAGCGTCATTCGCAGACAAAAAGAAAACAAGAAAATGCTTTCACGTCTTCCGTTAACGGACCGGAATATAGGCAGCCGTCTGCTAAAAGCCGAGTGCCGCGACAAAGTTATACGGGATGCAAGCTGAAACTGTAATGGTCTGCTTTATTTCCGGTTTCATGCTATCTACTCCCATATATAGCTGAAATTCTCCTACGTATGTAGTAGTCGGGACAAATACTTTAAATACCTGGAGACCCCTGTCACCATCCGTGTGTTAGTAAGAGGCTCTCACCAAAAGGACTTCCGATCAGACTAAAGATTATCATTGGTCGATAACGCTCGCAGAGCAAAACGCTGGGACGTCGTGACCAATCAGTAACCGAGAATACTATCGCTCTCACCAGGAACCAAACACCGAGCCCTAAAGTTGGTTTTGAAAAGCTTGCGAAACAGGGCTGAGCAAAATCGGTAGTAAGAGCCAGGCACGTAGCCGGGGGGGGGGGGGGGCCATGGGGCTCATATTTCTTGGATCCTGGACTGCTAAAGAGTGATGCGTTCGCGGAATGCTGTCGTCGATTAGTTTAGTAGTCCCTCTGAACTACCGCTTTGCTTGACGTGCTAATAGGTTAATGGTGCGTCATTAATATAACAGCCAGATCGAAATGAATGTTCAGCAGAACCAAGAAGAACTATTAGCCCTCATTAAGCGACGTCGCGGTCATTTTGATTGTAGGTACTGCTCCTCCCTCAGCACCCCTGCTCTCCCAGTCACGTGACCTAGAATTCCCCCTTCTAGGGACAATGGTTAACTTTAACCCACGGTTCGCGTTCGAGAAAACTGGCCCTGGTAGTGCGGTCACATAGCTCGGAGGGCTTTTGAATTTCATGCTTACTCGCAATACAATATGACCATTGCTCATAAAAGTGGTTGCCTGCAGTATTGGCTACAAATAAAAGCTTCTCCCGCAGCGCAAACCCATTCTGTTAAGAAGCGAGTGAGCTGGACAGTTAAACGCGCCAACAGGTCCTGGTTAGCAGTCAAGAGCCCGCTTTTATGCTTTGGACTACATCTCGAAAATGCTTCTCGAAATGTGAGAGTAGCGTAATAATAATGATTCGGCATAAAGTAAGCGAGCGTTCACCTTTGCTTTTTAGCACCGTTTCCTTTAACATTCATGTGTGAAACGAAGTCCCGTCGCCTGGCTCTTCTGCACTTTGCATCAGCCTTCAATCGGTTGTAAAAGACCTACTTGAGCGAGAAAAACAAAACAAAAACTCAAGCGCAAAACAGTGTATCTGAGCGATTTTGACCAGACCTCTCCGTTGCTCTGCGCGAGCGAAGCTTTGATGCTACCCAACATCAAGCTCCCAAAAAATCAGATAATATAATAGATGCTTGCAGATGTTACATACAAATATCATGAGCCCTTCATGCCATCGTGGAAAGTGTCATATATTAATGAAACGTTTAGGAGCCCTGTAAGAACACACAACACTAACGCCGCAGGTGCTCTTTTAGGGAGCATGAATAGCACAGGAAAGCGCTATGGCTAATCAGACGTTGGCTATAATACCCTTTAACAGAAAAACAATACAATCTGAATGTTTGCATTGGCTGTTTTTAATTTTATTTCCTCGTTGAATACGTAGCGGAACAGAGCAGTCATGCGGTCGCTGCGCGCCACTTTTACACGCTACAAACGGCCACAGCGCTCTGCCAGTCGCCTCAAAGATGGCGTCGGAAGGAAGGTTGGCGCCACGTCTGACAGATGGCGGCCGGATCTGAATAAGGTCTTTTGCTCATGAGCGACACGCGCTTGGAGGCCGAAAGATCCTTTTATGACGTAACAACTGGTCGGGGTTTTTTCGTGTGTTCTTGCGTTTAGTTACATCATCGGGGAAAACAAACTAAATATTCAGATTTACGGCATACAACTACGCTGGGGTCAACCTCTATCTCATTTTTTGGAATAAGTGTTTGAGCTTCTCTTTAATGAAGACGATCAAGAGAAGGCCACTCAAGCTTGTCTTGAGTTGGATGAAATAAAAAGAAAAAGAAACATTTGCGTTGCAATAGGGATTGTAAATTTTATACTAGTGATGAATGGTGATCAATTTATACTGGAGATCACTTAACCAAATTATGTTTTATAATCAACTTCTGGATGATCTAAAGAGCTGTTTCCCCGTGAACGTGAACCAAGTATCTCAGCTAAAACGCGTTCTCTCTAAGTGGGCCCCACTGATGTTAGTGCTTGGCTAAATGCGGGGCTGACTGATTGATCTACACTGCACATAATTTCATAAATGATGGCGTTAGTCGCGTGGATGCGGCACAGATGGAACCGGCAAACATTTTCCTCCTCGCTAGCGGTATGACGCTGCATATATTATGAAACATCTCTCGTGGAAATAGAAATGGTCAGTGTTATTTGGCCAAAACATTCACACTTGGAAATTGTATGGTCACATAGGACTTACTTTTCCCGCGTCCTTCAGATTAAAATTTCTCGCAGTTACCCCCTACTGACAAATGGTGTTGTTATCCATGCCCTGTTTAATCTGGAAAGTGGCCTTCAGTTTTTTACTTGATAAAACTGAACTGCAAATGCGCGTGTTCTCATTTGTTGCCTTCTTTTTTCTAGCCTCCGCGTCGTAATTCGTAATCATTTGCTTACTGCACTGGTACCCTTCAGTTTTAGTTTCGCTCGTCCAATGTGACGATAATTGAGGGCATGTAAAGTAACTTTGTGTTGGGGACTGTTTATTAATACTTATTCTTCTGAACTTTGCAGGCCGAGCTAACCGGAAATGCTCTTAAATGTGAGCAACCCTTCGCTGCCTAGAAAAAAGGGCCAGCCACCAGCCAGGTCAACTTTTGCAGTGCGAGACCTTTGGGCTACATTTTTTCCCAGATGAATGGGACGAACAAGTCGGATAAAATAAGGAACGCCACAGCTCAGCCAACTACATGCAACATTTTTATTCCGTTCCCTACCTTTGTTTGCCGACACACCGTGCCCGTTTTGTTGACGTGTAATTCCCAAAAGCTATGGCGGTGATATGCCGTACAGTTGTTGGTTCTGTGGCATGCCTGCCTTTTTTTCAGCACTACAGTGTGGGAGTGACGTAACTAAACCCCCCTCCTCGATGGTATTTAGTTGTGTCTTTGTCGATTTGTGTGGGACTGTATTGATGTAATCCTTTACCACATGTTCGAGGTGAATTGAAACTTTTGAAGTATGTATTTAATAGAGAAGGACTGCCTTTATGTATGATTCACGTGCAATTTTTACAATCAATTTTTTGGGGATTTTGAGTATTCAGTTTGATGCCCGTGTTTTTTCGTGATATGATTATTTTACCCTTTGAATTACACTGCAATACGAATGTATGCCCCTGAATTTCTCTACTTCATCAGCATGATGTGTATATGTTTGCTTGTTCTTTAAGTTTGTTCTGATTGGGCTTCTGTATTGGTGTAGTATAAAAAAATTATACTAAAGAAAATTTGATCTTCAGTCCTAACAGAACTTGCCCACGCAGCATTCGACTCCTTGGCTGAGGACAAGGGGGCGGAGCCCTCCATCCAAGGAGCTGAATTGCAGGGGCAACCATGGAAGATGGACCAGGAGGGGAGGACGGACGACAGTGCGACTTCTGATCCCAATCTCATGGTGCCCACAGAACTAACAACACCAGGTATGAGAAGACGCACACGGGACAATACTCATTCAGCCTCGCACCTCCTTAGCACACCCTCACAGATTCATGAACGGTCCCCACACGGATAGAAAACCTTTTTGTAGGCTCGGTTTTCCAGAAAATGGAAAACGTGAGGAGTCTGATGTGGTACACAAAGTTTTCCCCACGTGAAAACTTCATTAAGTTTTAATTAGCCGCCTGCACCAAACCACAAAAAGATATCGCAACAAAATTTAATGTTTTTTTTTTTTTTATGAAAAAGGGGGGGGGGGTTACATTCCAATGTCCAAGAACTACAACTCAAGTGAAAGTAAACAAACAAGCTGGGCTCAACTGAAGGAACATTCAGTCTGAGCACTCAAAGTTGCAATTGATACATATTATTTAATATCGAAGAAGTGTATCATGCTGAGTTGCTTATTTATTACAAAATTGTCTTTTTTCCTTTAGTTGTGGTTGATTGAGTAGCTCTCACAAATGCTATAAATTATTTTCGACACATGAAATAGCCCGAAAACGTTTTGCTGCTTCAAATGATTGAAGCTTTTTCACAACATTAATTTGTGTCGCCGAAGTCGCTTTAGACTGGCAAATGTCCATATCAATGTCGATATAGAACCACGTTTTTCCCTGTTTCAAATCGCTCGTAAAATATTCGCTGTGTACCTTAGCGATTTTTCAAGTTTCTAAGGTACACAACGATCATTCTACGAGCCTATTGAATGCTATTTTGTGTAACCTAATAATATGTGGGTGTGAACGACCCTTCCAGCGTTACTTAATACACAGTCACAATCATTATGAATGTCAACACGCTATCACCCAGCGCTCCGTACTGGCAGCGGTATGCAGCTGCAGTGTTGTAGGCGTTACCTAAAAAAAGTAAAGAAATATGTTACTTGTTACTTGCGAAATAAAGGAACGCGGTATCGTTGTCGACAGAAAGTAGCGCACGTTACTTTTGCGTTACATTTCTTTTATAAATAGGCGGTAACAGCGCTTTTGTTTTATTTTGACGACAGCGTGTTTCGACACTGGGATGACAGGCGCGGGCGTTGGGGTTTTTCTAAGCGGAACTTTTTGCGTCCGTAAAAAACAGGCGAAATTTTGAAAATATGTAGAATGAGTGCAATAATTAATTACTTGAATCACGTACTACATTTCAGCTTAACTCTAGACGCAGCCTACGCTACGAGTCAATCGGACAAATTAATTAGCGTCAAAATCACAAGTCACTTGGCCTTGTTTGTTTATTTCAGCGATGAAAGAATACGTATAGAAACACAGAGAACACCATGATGGTTCCCTTTTCCCTCCGATAATTTCCATCAGCTTGTAGCGTCAGCTGCGTCTTGACTTCAGGTAAAACGAAGTATAGAAACGCAAAAAATACAGGTGTTCTTTTTTCAATTAAAACTTGAGGAAGAAAACAAGAAGGGATAGTCAACTGTTGTCTTCCTCAAGTTTAATTATCCCTACCAACCCGCTCGTTCCGTCCTAACATTTTTCAAGTTTTCGGAAGATGTAACGAGTAACGTAATTCCGTTACCTGTTACTTGAAATAACTAACGTGGGTACATTACCCGTAAATGCCATGGAAAAGTAACGATTACGTTACCACGTTACTAACAAAAGTAAGACGTTATCGGTAACAATGTTACTTGTAACACGTTACCGCCAACACTGCTGCGGCGACCGCGGCGGCTTGACTTCCCTTCTGTATTTGGTTAGCAGAACGTGCAAGCTACCACAGCTCCCGCACCATGGGGCTGCCAGTGTCAAGTCTTTAATGATGGCCTGTGGACATTTACAAGCATTGCGAATGAACCTTTTTAACATCTCAAATGAATGAATACCCACTGTAGGCCGCACGGGCATAATGTAGGTCTACTGGACCATGTTTAGAATTATAAAAAATGCGCCGACCTTTCTTGCTCTGTCATGTCATTCCAACAGACTGCATCGGAGCATGCTATGGCGACAAAGTGGATACCTTTGACCGTGACAGCCGCAGAGCTGACACCTCTCCCCAGACCAACAATCCGGGCCCACACAAGCAGCTGACGCACCGACGACCGAACAAGCACCCGTGCCGCTTCTGTCCTTACTCATGCTCTTCCGCCACGATTGTCGCCATTCACGAGAGGACTCACACTGGCGAGAGGCCCTTCAGTTGCGATACCTGCGAAAAAACGTTTGCGGATAAGTCTCGCTTGATATCTCATGTTAAAATTCACACCGGAGAGAAGCCGTTCAAGTGCAGCACGTGCGGCAGGGCATTTAGTCATAAAAACACCTTGGTGGGTCACGAAAGGATTCATACAGGAGAGAAGCCGTTCAGGTGCAACACGTGCAGCAGGGCGTTTACTCAGAAATGCAACTTGGCTGGTCACGAAAGGATTCATACAGGAGAGAAGCCGTTCAAGTGCAACACGTGCGGCAGGGCATTTAGTCATAAAAACACCCTGGTGGATCACGAAAGGATTCATACAGGAGAGAAGCCGTTCAGGTGCAACACTTGCAGCAGGGCGTTTACTCGGAAGTACCAGTTGGCGAATCATGAGAGGACTCACACCAGAGAGAAGCCGTTTAAGTGCGAGACCTGCGGTAGAGCGTTTGCGGCTGATACCAATTTATACCGTCATCAGAAGATACATCGCAAGTGATCGAAACCCTTACGTGCATCATAGTTGTGAAAGGGGTTTAAACGAAATACTCGAGCACCGACGTGTGTTCATTTGGCTTGGCAATAGGCCTGCAGGGGTTCTACTTGCGAGCAGTGTGTGTTTCACATGGTTCAAAATGTTTCAGCCTCTTATTTACAGTATAAACACAGATAAAAAAATGTGAATTTACCTTAGACGAAGCGACCAGAGTTCTTTTTTGTACACGAAAAAAAGAAAATACTTGAAGCCTAATCTTTTTTTATTCATTTATAGTCATTGATCACGTGATGCACCTGGAATCTCTGGGTTTTCTGTAGGGTCACTTATGTTCCTTACAGGTCGTCCTACTCATGACCATAAATAGACAAACTTATAAAATAACTAAGGTCTTTCAATAGCAGCAATCTTGAATATTGCAAATGTTAAGAAAAGTACAAGAAAAACCGAGTAATGCGGAGAGGTCAACATAATTTTAAGATGTAAAAATAAAACTAGGTATATTCGAAACTATTTAACACACCAAGCTGGAAACTAATGCTTTACTCATAGGACTGCAACAGTATATACGTGACTCGGAAGATTTAGAAATGCAGTGTAATTTCCTATCTCATTTCGTGATATTCTTGGTCCTTTTTCTTTTTGATTGGTTTGAGTATCTTAATTCTGATAGTATCATTCAATGTGCTTGCTACATGAAATACTTGTATGTATGTTTTCCTTTTGCATGATTTTATTATTTTTTTTTGCACATTCATGAAGACGGCCCTGATCATTTAGGATATTTATACTTTTAGTGCTATTCATTTGGTGTTCATATATACTTTGTTTCAGCTTAGGCACGAGCGCGGACAATGTTATGAGTTGGAGGGCCAATAAAACAGTGCAGAAAGCGCAACGCCATGGCGTGCTCTCTGCGCTTGATAGGATTAGCCGGTGGAGGAGCAGGCACAGAGAGATGGCGAATACGGGCTAGTCCTATAGTCCTATGAACTGCAAAGAACTCGTCATGGTATGAACTGCAAAGAACTCGTCATGGCTCTGTGCCTCTTTCGCTGTTTGATTGGCCCTTGGGCTCGTAACATCGGCCACGCTCGGCCCTAAGCTGAAACGAAGCACGGTTTCACTTGAATTCGTCAGGCCTTTAAATATTCGGAGTTCCTCTTGTAGTAGACGGATCACACACATGTGTTGTACTAAAGGCATAATTGACTTCATTGTGTATATTCATGTATCTAAAAAATGTATATGCGTAATCCATCTAAATCGCTCTCAATCTGCGCTGAGTGTACAGTGGTTGTCACTATTGTCTAATGTGCCAGAATTGATGGAGGTGGAGTCCTGTTCCCAAACGTATAAAACATTTGTTTTGACATATATGCAGTGTGTTTCCGGAAAAACGGGTAAAATCGCTACTGCAAAACTATGCATTGCACAAAAAAGAAGCCTGATCCCATAGTAGTGTGTCCGAGGAAAATTGCTAGAGCTCAATATAATGGGATATTTAATAAATTCTGAGTACTTAAATTGTTAAATATTAGTCTTAAAGGGATGGTTTCAAAGATAAAATTGCTCGGCATCATCGAGAACGGCTAAATGCACCCATGTTATAACTGCATGAGGCACGCGCAGCATTTTACGGCGTTCTGAAAAAATGCCGAATTTGGACACGTATCTGGCTCTCGGCTTCTTATCGGAGAGCATCTCCTCGTGGTCAATCTCGCCTCCCGATTGCCCGCGCGGAGATGCACTTCGATAAGAAGCCGAAAACAAGGACAGGCTTCCAAATTGAGTATTTCTTCAGAACGCCATACATGCTGCGCATACCTCATATCATTGTAGCGTGGGTGTTTTATCGTAGTTTTCGATGATGCTCAGCAAGATTCTATTTGAAACCATGTGTTTAAAATCAATAATTAGCAATTCCTTTATTAAATAAAATACTCACCCACTTTTATTGAACGCTAAAAGTTTTTCTTGATGGCAGGTTCAAAGGGCCAAGGATGGCAGGGTGGTGGAAGCTACGAGCCCGTTGGACCAGTCGTACGTCGATCTTTCGAAGCATGCCCGCGCTCCCAGCCATATCCACGCAGAGCAATGAAAGGGACGCGGTTTCCTGGTCCGGCAAATATGTAGCTCCCGCCGCACTGTCAGCTTCAAGGGGCTGTGCAACGATATTGGGTATTGGGCTTTCGGCACCTGTGGGACCCAAGCACTGTTGTGCCCGTTACACAAAACATGTAACAAACTAGCGTCACTCGTTAGATCGTCAAAACTTAACGAGTTCTGAGATTCGTTACCGTCCTAAGAACGTAACAATATACCGTTACGGTTACCTTTAAAAAAGAATGAACGTTACTTTTGCGCCAATTTGAATATTACTCATATTCGACAGTGAAAGGCCGAGGATATGAACTTAGACGACAGTTCAACTTCTATGGAGTCATTTCTTTGTGTGTTATTAGTTTGTAAGATTTGTTGCATATGTTTATTATTTTGAAAACTGGCTTTATGGACTGTGCTCTTTTATTTTCTCTTTTTCGCAAATAATTCATTAATTTTTTGTACGACAATAAGGGCTCAGCAATAAACTTTGGTTGAATAAAACGCTGGTTTGAACAAAGAAGTAACCACATGTCGTTAAATTTTTTTTCCCATTTGAAGGGATACACTCTTGGGAGTATTTATAGGTACTCCCATGAAAATGGTGTGTAATGCATTATATTACAGTATACCCCTTTTTCTTGAGAATGTTGCAAAGGCTCTCCAATTTAACTGTTTTAGAAAGTGGGCGAACCAGCGCACTCTGTTGGGCATGCGCGGAGTGGAGATTGCAAACAGCTTCGCTGATTCTTTCATGAGTTTTTTCTGAAAGCCCTTAAACCCAGTTGTAAGCGCACCTAAAGCAGGGCTATTAAAGGTCTGCCACGAAGCAGTCCGGACATGAAGAAATTGATAAAAAATGAAAAGTTAGTTACAAGGACCATACAACTAGGGTTATCTCACATACAACTAGGGTCAACACTTCCGGCCAATTCTTGATAGTTATTTTTTTTCTCCAGATTTTTCTCCTCGCATTTATTAACGTGTTTTTTTTTTCTTCTTTTTTTTTTACTATTGGCACAATTATTTAGGTCGAAAAGACATAGCTTTGAACTTCCGAACCACTAAGCATGTGACGAGTAGTGCCTTTTGACAACAAGTTTCTAACAATGATTATCTACGCGATCTTTTATGCAGTGAAGAGCGACAGTAGCTATACATATGCATAAATAATTTCAGATTAAAATAAGCTCGACCACGCCCTCTTTCCCCGTATTGTTTTCCTTACAGAAAGGGAAGAAGGGGGGCTGAAGCCCCCCCTCCCCCCCCCCCCCCCCCGTTTTTCCTCTTCCGACGCCACTTGTATGGTCGAACGCTCCTCGACCTCGAGTTGTGTCGGCTTCTGTGCTTTTTGCGAGGCGATTCCTCCGTCCCAGAAAATAAACCTCCAGGACAATTACAAACTTAACTTACTATATGCCAGCATCACTCGGGCGGCGTTCGATCGGATTACTACCAGCATTCAAGGGGTGGGGAGGTAGTTTGCCAGGTCGCTTCAAAGTTTTTCTGAGCCTCAACCTCATGCCCACCCTTGGTTGTTTCAAACTGGATGAGTATCGTAACACAGTGTTCGTGTGATCACTACTGCGTGATGCAGGTTAAAGACCCCCCTCTCCCCCCGGGCTGGCGGTCACAATTACTGATCTATGGCCACACGTCACTCAGCAGTGGCAAATATTCCAGCACATCTGGGACACTTGTCGTCTTATTTAATTGCCTGACCAACTTCGCAGAGTCTAGATGTCGCACCCTAACTTTTCTCAACTTGATTTCGTGAAAACCAGGGAGGTTTGAAAACATTATTTGAAATTGAAACTGTGGATGAACTTGAAATTCGAACTTTGAAAACTTGGACTTGAAAGGAATTCATGAAGAGAATCAAAACCTTCGAACTTTATGCAGAAAGAAATTGAAATCTTCAAATTTTATTTTCAAGGAGTTTTGGAATCTTCGAATTTTTGGAACTTCAGATCACAAGAAAATCAAATTTTTCGAATATCTCGAATTTAAAGTTTGGAAAGTTCTAAATATTTGAATTTTTCGAACCTCAAGTCACAAAATATTCAAAATATTCGAACCCGAAATTTTAGAAACTGAAAGCTTCGAACTTTTAGAATTCGAAACTCCACTGTGATCGAAAGTTGCGAATTTTTTTAAATTCGAACCTCGGTCGGTATGCAAATATAGAAATTTTTTGAAATCGAACCTTAGTTCGCTTTACAAACTTCGAAATCTTTCGAAATCGAACCTAGGGTGGTTCGCGACATCCCTAGCCGGGACAAACCCTTCCTTTAAATACGTCAAGTCTCCTTGAGCTTCGAGACACACAAACAAAAAAAAAGCCAGTCTTTGGCGGTAATTCCACATTTACTGGGTCTCAGCTGCGACGTGTCTGTCCGCTCCCCGCGCCTCGTAGCAGAATTGTTGCAGTTGGGGGGGCTCGTGAACATTTTAGGGGGTTTTGGGCCATCTAAACCACTCCCCACTTCCCCCCTCTGCCCCCCCCCCCCCCCTTCTCCTGCCTACGCTACATGCTTCACCCTCTTTGCAAATATCTGCTGACCTTCCAGCATCTTATCCATTTTTGTGCAGGAAAGTTTGTTACAAACAAACCTACCACTAAAATTCGAAAGTTATGCTGCGTGATCTTTGGGTTACCCGCGGTGCCTTTTCATGAGTGGTAATGCTCAATGACAATAACAGCATGATGACCTTATAACAGATTGAAGATAAGGTGGCATCTCCGTTAGCAGACGCAAGTGTTGCCACCACTCTGTGAGGGCCGCCCAGCAACATTCAGGGATTCTACGCTGGAGCCACCGCTGCCTCTTCAACCTTCCCAGTTAAAAATGCCCATTGACTCTAATGGACCTTTTGTAGAAACATCGGTTCGAGAGTACATGGTTCCAGTACCCTCTCTCTCTTCCTTCTGGCCGAGCAGAGAGGGAAGATGGTTTCGTTGTGTCGACTTCGGGGCGGAAGATTACCCACGATGGGGACAAAGGCGAGTTTGGGGGAGCCATATCTAGGTCACAGCTCCTCAATGGGTGAACGGGATGTAGCTGACGCTTTGGGTGTGGAACGGAATATATATATATATAGACAAAGAAAATATAGCGTAGGATGCCGAAGACTATAAAGTAATAAAGTCGCACTTCGAAACGTTGTTGGAGTTTTAAAGCATTTAGTGAGTCGACGTTTCGGCCTGAGACAGGCCTTCTTCAAGACTGGTTGCCAGAGTCTGGCAACCAGTCTTGAAGAAGGCCCACTGAGAAGGCCTGTCTCAGGCCGAAACGTCGACTCACTAAATGCTTTAAAACTCCAACAACGTTTCGAAGTGCGTTTTTATTACTTTATATATATATATATATATATACTATCTATTATTATTCTGATGGCTTTTCGTTTTAGCAGTTCTTTTTTACTTTTACTAATAGTTTCGATTTCAAAGTTGGAGCGCCCCATCGCTAGTGACACCAATAGTAGCTTGTTTTTTCTGGGAGCATGTGTGTGTGTGTGTGGGAATGCGAGTAGGGGTATGTGAAAATTTGACATTTTCATCAAGTTTACCAACATTTGACGTTTTTTTGTTTTAATCAATGTGTCCAAAAAAAGCCTGGGGGAGCCGCAACATGCTGGGGTTAGCCAGCAACTCCGTCCCGCGGCAGCTGCGGTGAGCGCGATTTTTCTCTTTGTCCCTCGGACTCCTGAAGCAAGTTCTGAATATTTTCACGTGGTCAACCTTGTTTGCTAAAGTGTTCTTATTGCCAACTTCGCTTGTTTTACCTGCTTTTATGCTTGGAACTGTTGCCGCACGTCCGCGTTAGGGAAAAAGTTTGCCATGCGGTGCACACATCGCATTGTACGGTGCGCACATCGCATTGTAAAACGCTTTCCATTGTAGCAAACAGTTTCTAGTGTAACTATTTCCTCATTCAGTGTTTGAGCCTTCAATATATTTGCTGTTTTCTTTGGGTTGCTCTTAACACCCTTTTTATTGCCACATGTTGCTTAAAATATTTGTGAATTATTAAATGCTTCTATTGTGCAGAATGCAGCTAGCATGCTATCATAAATATTCATTTGAATGTGGACAGCTGTAAGAATAAAGCTAGCTCTGCTCTCTTTGCAATCAAAGGCATGTGTAGCCTCACACATGCAATTAATGGCAATTGAGAAGTTTCAGCGAATATAGGGGGCGCTCCGATTAATCCAACATGGCGGACAAGAGGGGGATAGATTTGCGACG